CATCTTTGGCTACTGGGTATGGCATTAGTAAGAGGCCCTGATTAACCCTAAACGTTGTAGAGATCAACTCTAATCAGCGTTGGTATTCCAGAGACAAATAATAGGCCTTTTGTGTTTGTGAAGTGAAAGTATTGCAGCTTGGGAAACATCAGAGAACACTAACATTTAACAAACACATGCATATTCAATTAAATTGAATTCAGTTTATTTATACTGCACCAATTCACAACACATGTCATCTCAAGGCACTTTACATTTCACCAGATGATACAGTCAAATTGATTCAAAGTTTTCTCCTAAGGAAAACCAGCTGATCGCATCAACTCATTGATTTTTAAGGCAATCGCTCACACTAAGCATGCTTGTAGAGACAGTGGAGTTTCCTTTAATAACCAGTGACATAGAACATAATTCTTGTATGTCTGTTTTTCTTTTTAATCTCAGGGTAACAAAGGTGCCGTGTCTGTACGCTTTTCCTTCTACGGTCACATGATCTGCTTCCTCAACTGCCACCTTGCAGCTCACATGCACAACGCCCTTCAACGCGTTGATGAGTTTGAGTACATTCTGGAAACTCAAGACTTTGACATATTTGACACTCCTCATGTTCTGGACCACAAGTCAGTGTTTCTCTGTGTAATCATACTATCATCCAACCCAAAGCTTATAAACCAGAAGTGTCTGTGCAGACTGGAACATGTGAATCTAATGGTTCTTCCCAGGGTGGTTTTCTGGTTTGGTGATCTGAACTTCCGTATCCAGGACCATGGTTTGCATTTTGTCCGCTCATCCATCAACGGTGGGCGCCTCAATTTGCTGTGGAGTAAGGATCAGGTATGAACTTTGAGTGTTATACCTGGATAGTTAAAGGTGAAGAAAATCTAATTACTGTGTTGTTGTTTTCAGCTCATTATGATGAAGAAAAAGGAACCCTTTCTGCAGGAGTTTGATGAAGGGCCGCTGAATTTTAAACCCACCTACAAATTTGACCGTAAAGCTGACACATATGATATCAGGTACCGCGTCTTTGCTAACACACATACAGCATATCAGTAAGATTACCAACACATTTGACAAATTTTTCTTTTTTTTTTAACTGACTGCAGTTCTGTGAAGACATGGTTGGGTTTTAAGTAAGACACTCTTAATTTCTGTGTTGCATGCCCCGCATTTCGCTCCTTGTTTTAGCTACTCCCCTTTTGGCTAAAACAGAATTAACAGTGGCTTTAACCGTGCACAGCATTTACGACATTTCTTTTCTTGAGTATCCTCTGACACCACACCACCATGTGTCTGTCTTAGAACGAGCACTGTGGCACTGCCCCTAACCATGTACAGACCCAGGCCCCTGCAGCGATGCAGTACCACTCTCCTCTTCCTCCTCACCTCCCTCTTCTGGGGAGCGGTCTGTTTCTGGTTGGGGGCTTGGTATAGAGAATTAAACCCACCAAGGTGTGTGTCTCTATAGCTTTGCACTGTAAAAGAACATTTTCAATAATAATAATAAAATGTTTGAAGGTTATTTACAATCCTGTTTCGATCTACTAAATGCACAGTGCTTTTGAAGAGCATTAATACCCCTTGTTAGTTAACAACCACAAATTTCAATGCATTTTATTTAGATTTTATGTGAGATAATGTAGGTGCCCGTTCCATCCTTAGGAGCTACTATCCTTCCACTTAGATTTTATTTATATATTACAGAAGATGTTCTCCTCCTGTGTACCTGAAAAACAGGATTTATTCTAAGATTAATTCTATTTTAATTGTACATTTTTGACTAATTTCTAAAAGCAAACTTCAAATTTTTTTGTTTGGTTTTATGAAGAAAATACAACTACACAACAGAAATGAAAGAAGGCTCCAACACAGTGAAATCAAATCTAAGCATGTTGGCAACCAAAAATAGATTTTTTTTCAACTGGTAAAAAAAACTATTTTATCCTTAAATCTTATTTACATTTGGGGCTTGGATGTGGTGGAAAAGTTTTTAATCAGCACTTAAGTCAACACAGTTTCCTGCCTCTTGGCAATGACCGAAAAATGGGTTACGCTTGTGCTTTGAAACATAACAACGTGTGGGGGTTGTTTTTTTGTTTCTAATCATGCTGAAAAGAAATTCTTGATATAGAGTAATGCTGTGGAATATGTGGCACAGTATTACTATTTTTGTTTCTTTTATATTTGCATTATTAACTATCTTGCTGCATGCAAGGTTGCAAATCATATTTGCTACACTGCATCTCATTCAAGTATGCTTTACCATATAAAAGACTTATATGACTCCCAGGAAGCCATTTTTTACATAAACGTTTCTTATACTTTATTTACTGATTTATTCATGTTGTGTGGAAGCTTATTTAGATGCTGTCCTTGAGCAAATAATACATATACCATCTGAGCTTAATTGGTGGCATTAATAGTTTTCTGGGTATTTTATTTTATTAGGTATGTCCTTTCAAAATAAAGAGCAAATGACATTAAGAAGGGTTACTATACGTATCTTACAATCACAAAATATATGCAAGCACCAGTTTAAAGGACAAAACTTGTTTAGATAAAATAATAATATAAATGGATTTCAGATGTCATCTGCAAATTTATTAGAGTGAGCTTCTGTCTGCACTCTTTGTTTGTCTCTAAATAATGCATGCTTTGCTTTCAACACAGAAGGAATGTAGACATCTAGATTGTATTTTCAGCCACATGCTAGAATAGTTATCTTTGCACTGCATGTTGTTTTTTGTTTTGTTTTTTCTGTGTAGCTTTTTTGGGCCTGTTTAAAATAACAGTAGAATGTATTTTCTTTTAACCTCAAGCTCACAATCACTCTTGTTTTGACTGTTTGCAGTGGCAAGAAGAGGAAGCCAGCCTGGACGGATCGGATCCTCTGGCGGATCAAACCCAAAAGTCTCCCATCAGAAGAGGATGATGATGGCGATGAGAAGGCATCGACTTCCACTGATAATGAGCACGACGAGTATCCGATCCTGATCACCCAGAACGCATACACCAGTGTGATGAGCTACGGAGTGAGTGACCACAAGCCGGTCATTGGAAACTTCACTCTTGAGGTGAGAACATAGGTGACACATACCTAACACCAGGAATAACATTTTAATAGAACCACCCCTTTTACTTTGTTATCCCTGCAGCTGAGGAAATATTTCGACACACAACTGGTACAAGTGGCACCAGAGGGCGAATGGAGCGCAGACCAAAATGCAGTTTTGACCTACACTGTCCAAGAGGACTTTATGTCTTCCACATGGGACTGGATTGGCCTCTACAAGGTACTGAAATGCAAGTAGAAAAACATCAGTTATTGCTTCAAGAGAGACTAGATACAGATGTGAACCGAATGGCTTGTTGACCTGCAGGTGGGATTCAAGAGTGCCTCTGACTACGAAACCTTTGTTTGGGTCAGAGAAAATGAACTTCCGGAGGTGAACGAGGTCATAGAGGTAAAGTGGGTTTAAGTTAGGTTTCATCAAAGTTGTGTGAATATCTTTGTAAGCATCCACTCCTGTTTTTGTTGCAGAGATCAGTGGATAAAGATGAGATCCCTCTGCTAAGCGGAGAGTATGTTTTGGGTTACTACAGCACAAACCTGAACAGCATCGTTGGCCTTAGTGACACCTTTAAAGTAAGGGTACCAAATTATACCAACCACAGCCAACACATAATATAAATACAACACAGACTTATTTATACTGAGGTTATTTAATATATTTATGCAAGAAAAATAGTTGGTTTTTTAAAAATGCTGATATTAAAAATTTGAAGTAGATTGTATTCTTTTTCATTGCTGTATCATTACTGCAACAGTCCAACGTGAACTTCCTGCACAAACAATTTACCCATACAGTACATGTATTGTATTTCCGCCACTTTCAAATCTTTATAATTCAATTAAATTCAGTTTATTTATATAGCGCCAATTCCCAACACGTCAACTGAAGGCACTTTACAGTTCAACCAGATCATACAGTCAAATTGATTCAGAGTTTTCTATCTAAGGAAAACTAATCGATTGCATCGACTCATTGACTCAAAGGCAATCCCTCCCACTAAGCATGCTTGTAGCGACAGTGGAAAGGAAAAACTCCCTTTTAACAGGAAGAAACCTCCAGCACAACCAGGCTCAGTGTGAGCGACCATCGGCAAAGGAATTATCTTGAAAGGAGGAGATGCAGCTGACAAAATAAGCCTAGGTTGTATTTTTGAACATGAAGTAATTTTCAAAATCCTGGGCACTGTATATTGGAAATATCTGTTTAAATAAAACTACAGATATTAGTTTTACATTATTTATGTATATTTTTTTAATGCCTTAATGTTCCAGAGTAAAATTAATAAAAGGTTGAACATCAGAAACACAGGATGATGTAGCAAACCAGTATCTAAATTTATCTAAATCAATATCCAACCAAAAAACTACTTCAGTATGAAGTCTGAAATCAATGATTGATCAGATCGTGCCCATCTATCAGCTCAGTCTGCTGTATGATGTAACATCTCTAAATCTAGCGTGTATAACTCTTGACAGTTTTGGTTTTGTCACAGGTAATAAAATTTTTTATTTTTGTATACAGCATTTTTCAATGATTCACTACTTCTAAGGTGAAAATGAAAGGTTCCCTAAAATATAACTCAATAAAGTAAAGGGAGACAGTAAAGCAGAAGATTGGAATTTCTTAAACCGTTTAGGGAAAGCACCATCTTAAAACATATATTAAGACATTTGAAGGTATCTGAACTGAAGTACGGAATGATTATATGTTTGCTGGATGAGTATTTAATAACAGTGGGTTAACTTACACATATATTTTTTTGTGTGTTTGCGTTTATTTGCAGATCCTGGAGTCAAAGCGTGCTGCTATGGAAGGACTTGTACCCAAAGACATCAATGGGATCAACAATTAGAAGCAATCCCCACAGCGTGCCATTTTATTCTATGTCTTGACTGTGATTTAACCTTCAAACTGCCCAGTCTCTTGATTTGATGGTTGGAAAACAAAACAAAAAACGTGTATTTGTTGTTTACCTAAAGATTCATTCTTCTAAAGCTGGATTTTTGGTCAAGAAAAAATATATAATAAAAATTGAACACACTTTAATGAATGACAATCAGATGTTTTGCTGGTCCTTTTAGGCTTCTAGGAGAAACATAAATAAATACATTAATGAACTTGGTGAACTTCAAAGCTTAAGTAAGATCATTGCTGTGGACATGTTCTGGCTCAGTTCAATAACTGTTGGAAACGAGTTATTTTGGTCTAAATCCATGGTCTCTCATGTTTATACAAATCATGATTTTAAAGCGGTATAGTCATTTTTTTTTTATAATTTGTACACCAGCGCCTCACTATGGCTACATACAGTTTGTTTTGTTTTTTTGTTTTTTTTTTCTGAAAGATCATTCTTTTGAAAGTCTAAAGTATTTTAGACTTTAGACAGATTTATTTTGTTATTTTGTACATGAAATTTCGCTTAAAACAGCTCTAGACAATTTCATTTTTTTGAAGTGCACCCTTGAAAACAGTCCTGTTGGCATATTTGTTTATGCTCAATTTGGTAGTAAATAAACATTCAAGTATATTTACAATAACAAAGGTGGTACGATATTGTGCTTGTGCTTAGGGGGTAAAAAAAGAATCAGCACACAGTGGATTCAGCGCAGTAAGAAAGCTCAAGATTCTGTTAGAAAAAAATCTTATAATAAATAATAGTGCAAACTAGACAGGCTATTGTATTATGCTACAGCTAAGAAAAATTCAAAAGACTACTCAGGATCAGAGGTGAGTAGAGTATGAAAAATATATTCTTCAGCAAGAGCACAACTACTTTATCATATTTTACCCAAATAAAAGTAGCCTTGGTAAAAAGTATTTAGTAAAAAGGCTCATCAGGTACCGAGTAAGTGATTAGTTTACTATCTGTAATCATTACATCTAGTTCAATATGTTACAAAATAATGTGAACTTAACAAACTATTTTGTGATATGCTACTTCTGTTGTTTCAGAGATTAAGATAAAAAATAAACATTTAACATGAAGTGATTACACAATAGGCTGCTCAGTGGAGAAGTGGGCAGCACAGCTGCCTTGGAGTAAGAAGGTTCCAGGTTCAATACTCAGCCCAGGGTCTTTCTGCATGGAGTTTCCATGTTCTCCCCGTGCATGCGCTGGTTTTCTTCAGGTACTCCAGCTTCCTCCAAAAGTGCAAAAACATGACTGTTAGGTTTATTGGCTTCTCTAAATTCTCTTTAGGTGTGAGAGTGTGTGAATGGTTGTATTCGATGGACTGGCGAACTGTCCGGGGGGGACCCAGCCTCTTGCACATTGATATAGGCACCAGAACTCCTTGCTGCCCCAGCAGGGATAAGCTTGACAGAAATGGATGGATAATTACACAATGAAAAATTTAAGTGGAATGAACGCTCTTCAGATGTGTTTTATGAGTTCAAAAACCTACACAATCCATAGTTACAGTATGTAAGAACAGGTTTAATGCCATATTCTGTTTATTTTACTTTCACTAAACCTCCAAATATGACGACAGACTCCACAGATGGAAAATAACATTTAAACTATAACCACAAAACAGAGATTGGTAAATATCTACAGAAGGGTCTCACTGAGCGTATTTAAGCCAAATAAGGGCAACATTTCTTCCAGAGTGTGGGATGTTTGAACTTTTTCATCATTTAGAAACCAGTTTTGTTTATATATCCTTTGTTTCATAAGTAAAAAATGTTAATGCTCGTACAGCTGAGATACATTTGCAACTACAAATTAATAACTCTTTTGCAGAGATGAAAAGAAAAATATAACAATAAAATTTGACATGCAAATATTGACATTATTCAATTGAGGAAATAGTTTATGACAAGGTCTCTAAGTATTGATAACTATTCTTTAGGAAGAAGGGATCATGAAAACCTTCTGGATCTAGAATTTACATTTAGTTTCTTAATATATTGTCCACAGTAAAGTAAACAACTTTGCATTGAAACACTGAGGAGTTTAACTAACTTTAGCTAATTGTCACAACTGCACTCTGTAAATTGGTCAAAAGACCTTAGAAAATAATGATTGTCTCCTTAGGTCCTGTGACATTATTTTATCATTGCAGGAGTAAACTTAAAACACCTAAGATGGTTGGTAAGGAAACCATACCCAGTAAGCACCATAAAAATAGAGAGACAGTGATTAAAAAAAAGCTAAATAAACTGTTTATCATATGATCCTGAATTTGAATAACTTTAAAGTGTATAAAAGTACAGGATAGTATGGAGATATAATCAAGTAATCATCGAAGAAACAATGGTAATTCCAAATTAGAGAGAAATTGAAACAGAACACTCCCCCCAAAAAAGAACATATGTTTAAAACATTTAAAAACATGTAATAAGTAAATGATTTTTTTTTTTATAATTTAAACTTGGAGAAACATTTTTGTTTAAATAATTTATGGAAAAAGAAATTATTGCATTTACCTCCTGATGTATTTTTGTGTTTGTTTTATTTTAAAAAAGGAGGAAGCTGAAAGTTGCTTGCTATTATTATTATTATTATTATTATTATTATTTTATCATCATAGTTATTTAACTACGTTATTTAACTAGTTATTTAACTACGGAAGGGGATTAGGGCCACTGATTAACTGATTTGAAAAAGTCAGAAATATGACTTTTTTTCTCAGAATACTAGTATTAAAGTCAGAAATCAGAGAAAAAAGCAAGAATTCTGACATTAAAGTCAGAATTCTGAGATTAAAGTCAGAATTCTGTGATTAAATTCTGACTTTTTTCCCATATTAAGCTGAAATAAATTTAAAAATCAGTCAACTTTTTTTTTTTCAGCGGCCCTACATTATATTCTCCCACAATTCATTGCGCTCCTGGAACTCCTCTTGACGTTCTGGTCCTTTAGCACATCTCTTCATTGGTAGACTCTTTGGCAATAAACACGTGGAGACATCATACCGACCGCCAAGCTAAAGGTAAGGGTTTATGTTGTTTATAAAGCAGTCATATGTAATATAAATCCAGCCCCATTGGTTAAACTAACTTTGGATTTTATTCTGGTCAGTGATTAGTGCCAAAAAAAGAGGCTTCATTATGCTAAAAGTGTTAGCTAATGAGTGCTAACCGAGTTAGCAGCAAATGTTATGGATTCCGATACTAAAAAGAAAATAACCTGATCGACTAGCTTTATTTGTCACATTTATCTGGATTCAGATTAAAGTTATTCTTCATAACTACAGGCTGTAATTGTAAAGGCGATGCCGTATTTCTGATTAGCTTAGTAAAGAGCACCATAGACAACATAGACAGTTATTTATTTAACGTTTATTTGACTCCAGTCACGTTTTATTATAGTAATTTGATTTCTGCACCAGTTTCTTTCTGTTTTTCCTTGGTTGTGTTTAGCTTCTCTTGACGTGAAACTGCTGCTTTTTGGGGTTTTTTTCTTATAGTATTTCTAAAAGCGCCTCTCCCCTGTGCAGGTAGAAACAGCATCTTGTTAGATCTGGGATTGAACTGGACACTAAGATGATGAGTGAAGATGTGGAGCGGCTGCTGATCCAGTTTCAGGATGAGAATGGAGAGGTTCTGGGTTCTCCTTTTGATGTGCCTCTTGACATCACCCCAGACAAACTGCAGCTAGTCTGCAATGCACTGCTGCAAAAGGTAACTTTTTCTAAATCAATGTAAACACACTGTTTCATGTTAAAGAACTGTCATGGTCCTACACAAACCAACATGAGAAATGTAGGTCCACTGCAGGTTTCTGTTCTCCCCCCTAAAAAAAAAAGTCACATTTATAGAAATACATGTTTTTGTAGAAGTATAAAAATCAAAAAGTGTCTTAGCACTGATTGTCATCAGGACTTTGTTAGGGACATTCTGTCACATGAATGCGCTTTGATCTAGGGCTGAAGTGATTAATCGATTATTGAAATAATCGTCAACTAGTTAAGTAATCAGTTAAGCCGGGCTTACGCTGCGATTTTTTTTTTTCACTTGTTGCATGCAGCTGCTGCTCACACTGTATGACCAAACCGCAGGGTTTAGTCATACAGTGTGAGTTCATAGCTCACGATTTATGTTCCGCCCAACGCTCTGATGCGATCTACCTGCTCACACTAAAAACCACATCGCACTCAGCTCCGCAGTGAGATGGCGCTGCTCTGACTCATCTATCCGGGAGGCAAACAAATAGAAAGGGAATTTTAAACTCACTTTTTGTGCTGAGGGTCCTAGAAAGAAAGGGCGACGTATTTGGACGAAGACATGGCTGAGCAAACGTTGCTCCTCCATTTCACTCATTGCACCCCTGCCATGCTTTTTTTGTTTATATCTGAGAGGAAGAAGAAAAAGAAGAATCCTTGTTTGCGCACTGAGCGATTTGCCCATGACGGCTCACGATTCCTAATCGGGAGGTGGTCGTGGGAGGCTGATCGCCCCTCGTTACCCCCTGTACACTACACGACGCACGATCAGGCAGAATGTCGGCCCGATAGAAAAATTCTCGCGTGACTGGAAAATCGCCCCAAAAATCACAGTGTACGCCGGGCTTTAATCGTTAAATGGAGTATAGAAACTGTAAAACATGCCTTTAGTTGTCAGAGCAATCCTCCTGGAGCAGTAAGTATATCAGAATTGTAAAAAAAAATAAAAAAGTGGGTCCACATTTTGAATTTTAGACATTTCGTCTGTGAATATGCTCCATCCAGAACTTCTCAAGTGGAAACGTTTTAGTTTCCCCTGGTTTAATTTTGTAAAAAGTCTTCTTTAGAGAACCTTTTGCTGCCGATTAATTGATTAATCGAAAAAATAATCAACAGATTAATTGATTTAAAAAATAATCATTAGTTGCAGCCCTACTTTGATCTACAGCACAAGTGCCAAACTCAAGGCCTGTAGATTAATCTGATCCATCAAGGCGTAGATCGGGCCCCGTATCACCCAAAAAAAGAGATAATGTGGTAAAGTTAAGGAATATGTTCTTTTAAAGTGTACCAATGGGCTATAACTGCCAAATAAATAAAAGCGAAGTCATAATAGCAATAGTGTGGTATTTTTAGAGGAAATAATGAAATGGAAAATTTTTATTTAAACAGCTTATACTTAGTCATACTGCAAAGTGAACCAATTCTGTCTCAAGTCTTTAGCAGCATGTAACAGATTTTCCTCCAGGATTATCCTGTATTTAGCTCCATTCATCTCCCATCTTTCACACTGGGGCCAGTACGTTAAGGATGATGTGTAGTGTTGGTTTGCTGTAACACATGGTAGTTTAAACAGACTGAAGCCTTTTCTTCATGGCAAACAGGACTTATTTTTTGTTTTCCATTCTTTCTTTCTTAATGCAGCTCCAATGCAGCTCCTCCAGAGTCACCATGGCCCTCATGGTCACTCTGAATGATCCTCTCCTCATCTTTCCTTTTAGTTTAGATGGAGAACCATTTCTTAATATGTCTGGAGGTGTTTCTTTCTTTTTCCAGTTTTGGATGATTTATTGAACAGCCCTCTATGAGATGTTCAAAGCCTTAGATATTCCGTGACCACTGAACCAATCTGCTGCTAATGCTGGGATACAATTACACAGAGGTGGACTTTGTACTGAGTGAAGCCAGCTATTTCCATTGGATTTTTATACATCTTTCAAATTAACGGGGTCTGAATGCAAATTCCTATTGTTTGTCAAAAAAAGTGTAAAGAGCTTTGCACGGCACTGTATATAGAGCTAATTATTCAAATGCTTTAAGGTACGTATTATGACTCATTACCTGTTCCAGGAGGAGCCTGTGCCTCTGGCATTTTTTGTGCGTGGAGAGGCAGAGGTGGTGTCCAGTCTTGGATCCTGTATTAAGGCTCTCGGGGTGGAGACGGAGCAGGTTCTGCCAGTGGTGTACCAACCTCAGGCTGTGTTCCGGGTTCGGGCCGTGACCCGCTGCACCAGCACGCTGCAGGGACACACAGAGGCAGTGATCTCCACTGCTTTTAGTCCTACGGGAAAGTGAGTTCCTATAGGATCAGTAGCTGCCTTGTCTTGGGATTAATCGACTAACTGATTCTAAATTATGCTTTGTTAACATTTTCATTATTTTTCCATGTTTGTTTAAGGTATCTGGCCAGCGGATCAGGAGACACCACAGTGCGCTTTTGGGACCTGACAACTGAGACGCCCCATCACACAGCCAGAGGTATGAAAGCACTTTTAAAAGAGGCATCATTTCCAACTCCTAATAAAACATATAGTTGACTAACAATAAAACACCTCTGTTTCATTTAAGGACACACCCACTGGGTCCTTAGCATCGCCTGGTCACCTGATGGAAAGAAGTTGGCCTCAGGTTGCAAGAACAGTCAGGTTTGTAAAAAAAAAAAAATAATAATAATAATTTAAAGGGGAATGCCGTTTTTTTTTTATTTGGCCCTTGATTTCACGTTATTACATCATGTTCTACTCACCCATATGAGTTTTGTGTCATTTGGAGCCGTTGTGAATATCTTCAGAACGGCTCGGATGACGTCATACATGCGCCGCTTCGTTTTTAAAAGATATAAATATAAAAAATATAACAGCGGATGTCTGGGGGACAGTGATTCGCCTACATGTTATAAATGCTGGCGTACCATAAATAATAAATTATGAACAGTTTAGTTTGTGCCTTCAACTCGTTGCCCATAGGAACACATTACTTGGATATAACCTAACCAAATATCTTCAGAACAGCTCCAAATGACACAAATCTCATATGGGTGAGTAGAACAGGATGTAATAACGTAAAATCAAGGGCCCAATGTAAAAAAAAAAAAAAAAAAAAACGGCGTTCCCCTTTAATTACTTTTTACGTCACATCTATAGATCTTTCTCTGGGATCCAGTGACGGGGGCACAGATAGGAAAAACTTTGACAGGACACACCAAGTGGATCACTTGGCTCTGCTGGGAACCTCTCCATCTGTAAGCTTTCCTTTCAGCTTTTTATTGAGGACCGTTTGTACATTTTTAGCTTTGTAGTCCCAGTTTATACATTAAGTTCTAAGTTTATTAACATTATATTGAACCAAGCTGTTCTCCCTGTTTTTTTTTTTTTTTAGTAACCCAGAGTGCAGATACCTGGCCAGCAGCTCTAAGGATTGCTCTATACGTATCTGGGACACTGTTCTGGGGCGCTATGATAAGATCTTGACGGGACACACTCAGTCAGTCACCTGTGTGAAATGGGGAGGAGACGGACTTCTATACACTTCCTCTCAGGACCGCACCATCAAAGTCTGGAGGCCAAAAGATGTAAGGCTGAGAATCTATTCATCTTGAGTGGAAGTCCCCTCAGGGAGACTTGCTTTGTTCATGTTGGGTTATTGATTTCAGGGCATCCTGTGCAGGACTCTGCAGGGTCACGCCCACTGGGTGAACACCCTGGCTCTCAGCACAGATTACGTCCTGCGTACTGGAGCTTTTGAACCTGCTACAGCCACTATCAACCCCCAGGATCTCACTGGATCTTGTAAGTCTTGGTATTCCTTTCAAATGCTTGTTAATTTTTTTTTAATGAAAAGTGTTTTTAACCAAATTGTACCATCTCCCCCTCCAGTGGATGAGATAAAGGAAAGAGCCTTGCAAAGATACAATAAAGTTAGGGTGAGTACTTTTCACTAATGTGAGAGGAAAGTTTCTCTAACACCTCCTTGCTTCTGTAATGCATCGTGTCCTTCTGTTGCAGGGGTCCGCTCCGGAGCGGTTGGTGTCAGGCTCTGATGATTTCACCCTGTTCCTGTGGAATCCCGCTGAGGATAAAAAGCCTTTAGCCAGGATGACCGGCCACAGCGCTCTGGTCAACGAAGTGCTCTTCTCCCCTGACACCAGGCTACTGGCTTCAGCTTCATTTGATAAGTCAATTAAAATCTGGGATGGACGGACTGGAAAGTAAGAAACGTCTGGATTAACAGGAAGAATGATTCTCAGTTGTACTTTTAGTTCTAATAAAAGACTAAAGATTTTTTTTCAGTGATTCCGTCAAAAAGAGAAACTCTCATTAGATTCTTTTGAACATTTTCTTTACCCTGAATTTTCCATTGATAAACTGATCTACATCTCAATCATAGTTCAAAGTGATTCTTTTTATGATCCATCGAATGTAGAAAACCAAAGAGCTCCATAAGGTGGTGCTATTCAGCTTAACGTGTCCCATCTCTGCCTCCTCGTTCTCAGGTACCTGATGTCTCTGCGTGGCCATGTGGGATCCGTGTATCAGGTGGCGTGGTCGGCAGACAGCAGGCTGCTGGTCAGTGGCAGCAGTGACAGCACGCTCAAAGTGTGGGACGTAAAAACTGGGAAGCTTAACATGGACCTTCCTGGCCACGCTGATGAGGCAAGACAAAGGATTTAATCACATTGATGGTTCTTGTTTTTTTGATCCATATTTTGAGGATTTTTTCTGATCTGTCTGTAGGTTTATGCTGTGGACTGGAGTCCTGATGGACAGAGAGTAGCAAGTGGAGGGAAAGACAAATGTCTTCGAATGTGAGTAATCCCACTCCTGTGGAGATTTTAGAATAGTTGGATGTTTCTTAGTGTTTGTTTATTTTTTTGTCTTTTTTTTTTTTTTTTTAGATGGAGAAGATAGCCAATATGGGCCCTATTGGCTTTCTCTATGGTTTGTAGAGCTTCAGACAGGTGGAGCAAAAGATAGCCGGAGTGGATCAGGTCCTCCATTCGTCAGATGGCATTGTGTCGAGGAACTTCCATCTTGTCACTATATAAATACTGAATCTTGGTTTTAGGTTCAAGTGTGAATAATTCATTGATGGACGTTAAAAAAGCAAATTATTGGAAACCTGAATGTGAAAAATTGGTTTCTTGAGATTTCTACATTTAGAAAAAATGTATTTCAATACAGATTATTTAATATACTAACCCTGATAAACATGATCTGTTCAAATCAGGTACCAGTTTTCAGGTTTTATATATAGAGCTTTAACCATCATCATAAATACAAAAGATCATAGATTTTCAGGTGATTTTTAGTTTATAAACCAAAATAAATTATAAATTTTTTTTACAGATGAAATGGAGATGCTCTCCAGAAGAGTAGTTGGTCTAAAGCAACATGTGGGAGTGTTAATGCCTTCCCTGTTGTTTACTCTGCTCCTTTAATCTATTCCGCCCAACCTTCTACACATTAGTCATTTGAAAACTGCAGTGGCAGGAAATGCTAAACTCATCATTTCATCCCACATTGGGAAACCTCATTTCCTGTCCACAACATGAATTTATTACTTTTTTTTGTGTAATGTGTTTTGACTTTGACCCCCACAAACGCTGGTGAGTGAACATTAAATTCAGTGGCTGGAAGAATTTTCCGTTTTTGCCTCTAAAAGATGGAATTGCTGTCAAATGTTGATGGAAAGCAGCTTGTGTCGGTGGTTTTAAATCTAACTGGACTGTGTTGCATTATGACAACAATAAAAAATCTTCTAAAGGGAAGTGTTTGACGCAGCTTTTTTTGACCCAATAAAGGTGAACATCTAAATCAGTTGAAAGTAACAAATCAGTTTTAGTGTTACCAAGACAACAAGTATGAGAAAGACTTTAAAGTTAAATGCTAAGTGTGAGAGGTGTTTTATTGACGATATCCCAGAGATTAGAGGGTGTAAGGACTTTGACTTTTATCATGTTAATTTTTTTTATGTTTTACTCAAATCTAAGATTATAGATTTTTAGGAGGAACATTTCCTTTTTTAATCTGATTTCACTTAAGCTATTTCAAAGGAATAATACCCAACATGTAAGAATACCTAGATTGATTATTTTATTTCATACATCAGAGGTTTCAAGTTATTCAGTGAATATGGTATATTAGGAGAGAAACTTCAACTTTTTCCAAGCAAAGCCTAAATGGTCAGTTTAAATCAGTGAATTTTCTTTCAAAAATGTATTTTTTTTACATTTTTACCCAGACTTTTTTTAGGACCTTATTTCAGTGAATTTGTATTTCATAGTCTGACATCATCCATTACATTTAAAAGTGATTAAAAAGTCTGAGAACAAAGCTTCCAGGTATTTTAAATCTTTTAAGAAGTGTGATTTGTAACCAGTGGAAGAGCTGAAGCCACTGATCCATTGTGGGTCTATGCAATTTCTTCCAGTTAAAAGATAAATATTGTTCTGGAAGCCTGGAGTGAGCCAGAGTTCATTCTACCTGTAGATCCTCTTCTCACGGCCCCAATCATAAATCCTCCTTTCCAACTTATTATAAATGGTGTATGGCCTCAAACAGGTGGGACATTCACTTTTAACATTTTGAAGTTATGCCTTTATTTTAAAATATTAACTTAATTTCTCAGATGTTCAGGTAGCATTTTCCAGCTGATGGTTTTATATCATTTTTTAAACATTGTGAAGGTTGGCGGTTTTTATTTTATAACTACTGGACACTCATTAGCACTTCTTAACTAGTTAGGTGGCTGTTTTGGATTGTTTCCATTTCACTATTACACTAAATATACCTAAATTGGATTAAATTGATCTAAATAACGGGTTATGAAAAGGTTCATTAACATCTCTCCTTACTCTAATTATATTTTTCAGTTTTAGTTTTAAATCATGTACGAATTTAAAGGGAATGTTACCTAAATTCCTGGAGCTTCCATGTCTTCCCATTGAAGAACAATAAAGATATTTGACTAGAAACCTTCCTGTCTTCATTACTGTAGAAATCATTAATAAGCCTCACATTTCAAACCTTGATTTTTATCAATTATATCATGTCGCTTTATTTTTAAAGTTTTGAATAGGCTTGTCCCACCAATATTGGGTGATTTAATTAGGAAAAGAGACAGTAAAATAAAAACGAGCACAAACCAGAGGCTGCAAAGTACTGACGGCAGAACACAGTTTAACCAGAAGGAAGATTTCTTTTTAGAGTAACCAACCAAGAATCAGTCTTAGCATTCAGGGAGGAATTACTGATTGCTAAAAAAAGGCTTGCAGAGAGAAAACGATCCGTTTTTTCCCTTTTAAACCTCTAGACCAAAATAAAGGCCATAAAACAGATTTAAATTACAAAGATTTTTCTTGATTCCCCTACCTTTAAATGTACATGATGTCTTTTAAAATAGATCATTACTGCTATCTTAGCAGTTGATTAGATTAGATGTCTATAATTTACAACAGCTTTTAAATCTATAAACCTGTTTCATTTTATTAGGTTTTATTTCTCAATAAACTTGATGTTTTTTTTAATGTTACACATACGACTGTTATGCATCTGCCAAATATGTCAAGAAATTGTGCCATAGTTTTCCTGAACATGCAATTTGAATGCTAACACTAGGTTCAAATTTATAAAAAATTTGTCAGTAATGACAATAATTGATGTATTACATAATCCATTTTTTTTCACTTTCATAATGACCAAGTTCAATGTATTTTACCACGGCTTTATATTATAGTAAAATACCAATGTATATCTAAATAGTTTGGAATACATCAGATTCAGCCACGAGTCTGTAGGTGTATTTCTCTACCAGCTTTGAAAACCTTGACATCAATATGCTCCCACGTTAACTAGAGACCAAACTTGGTCAGATTAGATGAAGATTATATGAAGATCTTAATTTAAATTTAGGCCTGGACTCTGGTTACTTTTACACACAAATGAGGTTTGATCTATTTGCTATTTGCTTGCTGTGCTCCTAGAAAATGAACCTCCACCACAGTATCAAATCTTTTTATTTTAGTTTTATCTTCCAGATACTATAAGATTTTACTGTCCCTGCAAAAAACTAAAACTTCCCCTACAGCATGAAGCAGTCCCCCCTATCGTCCTTAAACAAAGTTCACTTTTTGCGTCCTGCAGCCCTTTTCATTTATAACATGCTTCACTGTTTTGCCAATGCACAGCATTAAAAAGGCTTTGAACAATTTGATGGATATCCCTACTCCGTGTTCAACTAAAAAAAAAAAAAAAAAAAGAGTAGGCTAAACTTTATTTCTTATCACAATCACAAAGATTTGGTTTTGCACATATTTATTCTTCTCATTAACATCAAATACATCAAAGTTGATCACTGATGTTTTCCACTATTATGTACGTCATATTGCATTTTGGTTTCAATGCCACACAATAAAGAGCTGTAAATCCTGTCCAAGTGCTTACACAGAATCTAAAGAGAAGATGCATGTCATAATTGACAGTTTTTATAAAAAAAAAACCAAAAAGCAAATAATAAAATTGTGCAATAAATCCATTCAGATGACAGTGAGAACAAACAGTGATTCATAAATAAAATATTGGAACGTACAGCATTGAAATAGGAGACATGTAATAATGTTAATGTTCCCAAACATTTCCCTTGTAAAAACTTGTCTACACTTGGATGTTTACAGGCATTTTCAAATAAAAGAATAGATTTTATCAAATAATTGAACAGTGAAGAGGTGTTAAAAATTTAATCAGTAACAAAAGTGAAGACAAAAATAAGAGAAAGAAAGAAAGAAAAAACAAAGGAGGGTATGTAGGTAACAAGGCAATGGAGGTAAGACCCTCGGGTCTGCATACAAATAGGACGTTATAGGAAGTCAGGCTTTAAGGAGGCAAAAAAGGAAGTAAGGAAACAGTCAAGCATGGATGAAAAGGGGCAATGAGAGAAAATTGACACAAAGATAAAAGGAGACAAAAGAAAGGACTAATGCAGGGTAGATGAGAAAGGAAGCAAGAAAGGACCAATGTGTAAGAAAACATACAAGAGTAGAAAGTCTGGAAATATAGGTTTTAACTACTTTCTTTTCAAACTTGTTTGTCATACTTTTCTAAAGAGTGAGTGAACCCCGAAGAGTTTTTGGCAACAAAAGAAAAGAGTTAAGTTCAAGGCTTTCAGGATTCACTAGATCCCCTAAAACAGACTGTTTGCTTTGAGGCTTCTCACCCATCATGTCAAAAGTTCTCCGACAGCCCAGAACTGAATTCTTCCCACCTAAAAAGCAGTGTTATGCAGAACTTTTTTCTTTTAGTAAACATAGGATCCTGCACACAAACTGGTTTTCCTGTTTACCATTTATCAGTTCATGTACAAAAAGCCTTTGTGGCACCTCAAACCAATTTAAAAACAGAACATCGATGTAGCAGACCTACACGATTTGATGACAAAACAGAAGGGTCTGCAAGGAGCTAATATCTCCTTGTGATCAGCACTGGGCACGGAATAAACATGAAACTTTGTCACACTGCAAGAGATCACTGTGCAAGCATGAGGGCACCACAAGCAAAGCCAAGATCTGCAAACATTGGTTACAATGATTCTAGAAGCTTGCCCGAGTCCATTCATAGCACAGTATCTGGTAAGTTCTCAGTGAATCAAGACACTTGTTTGGTTTTAGTACAAAGTATTCGCTCCATGTCAGCAATAGTCATATGAAGTTCTCCTTTTATCCTTCTGTTATTCAGTCCTTTCTTAGAGCACCTCTTTCTACTCCATTTGATGTTCTTTGTGGTATTTTACTCTTAACAACACTTTCCACTCCATTGCTGTGTCTAGAATGAATCTAGGTAACCTAATATGTTAAACTAACAGTGCAAACACCGGTCAAGATGACCCAGACGGCTAAACTGAACTGGAACAGAGGTGTTGCGTTGTGCGTAGCAAGAGGCAGTGGTCCGTGCTTCCTCCTGGACCCCTTGTCACAATCAGTTTTGTTTACTGCGTTTTCCACACGTCGTTGAGTAGTTTGACCACCTCCTCGTAAATGACGAAGACTATGGCTACATCTAGGCACACGCGGCCGAGTCTGGGAACCGTGCCCTTGTAGAACCTGCAGGATGTACCAATTGATGATTGTTGCTAAAGGAAAAGCACAATCTAAAGCAGGTCTATGGTTGCATTATACTCACGCATGCGGTCCTTCATGCTTCAGGATTTGGAAGGCACAATCCAATGTGTTTTTATAACGATAGGCCTCCAAACCCTGAAATATATATGAAAAAAAATAAAAAACTTTCAAGGATTCTGTTACAAGGCCCAAACTGAAACCAATAAATCTAACACTCATTTAGGATTGTATCCAGGAATGAAAGTAAGTCGGAACATTCAAGGTACTGCACACTAGTAAAGGATTCCTTAGAATATTTCAACATTTTGGTTTACATATTTGTAAAATTAAAGTTGGATAAGATAGTTTTGGTGATTCTGTCATCTTTTACATCAAACTCCTATGAACTGTTGCAAAAAATTAAATAGATGTCACGGTTGACACCTTTATATCTAATGTACCTCTTATATGTATATATTCCATTCAGTTTATTTCTATAGCACAAATTCACAACACATGGCATCCCAAGGAACTTTACAGAGACAATTCAATAAGATCATAGAGTCAGATGGTTCAGTTTTCTATCAAAGGAAAACCAGATGATTATATCGACTCATTGACTTGAAAGAAACAATTTTTGAGCCTGTAGAAATAAAGCTACAAGTTTTATTGGTGTTTATATTACAAAATTAATAGATTTTTGTTAGTATAGTGCTTACAAGAATTTAAATCTACTTTCAGCCCTCATTATATCAATAAGGATGCCATTGCTTACAATCTAAATAGCATTACCATATGTTAAAGCAACCTGAACTAAGATGTTTTAAATTATTTTTTTAGGTCAATTATTGGCACTTGGCTCACATCAATGCTCCATATGGGCTCCATTTTTAAACTCTCTGAATGAGTCATGTTATCCAGAGCTAACAGCCTGGATAACATGAGCTAACAGAGCTAACTAAGGCTACGTTCACACTGCAGCCTGAAGTGACCCAAATCCGATTTTCTTTGCCCATATGCGACCTGTATGAGTTATTTTCATGGCTGTCTGAACAACACAGATCCGATTTTTTCCAATGTGACCCAGGCCACTTGGTTATGTGGTCTTGAATCCGATACGAATCCGATCTTTTTCAAATGCGACCTGTTTGTGAACGGCCAGGTCGCATTCATCCGACCTGAATGTCATTATTACACGACAAAGGTCACAATTCTGGGTCTTGCTATGAAGAAGCACCAAGAAAAACAACAACCATGGCAGAAGATGATGCAGTAATTATGTTTAACCATCTTGAAAAGATGGTTAAAGTGTTTTTTTATGATTGGTAAAGATTGCTAGATGCGTTCCAGCACTACCATCCATGTTTACTTCCGTAAACACAGAGCATACTAGCCTGTGACGTCATTGCGTCCTCTACTGCGCATGCGTGACACTTGCATTGCATGACTGCAGTTCACACAGGGGATCACATACAAGTCACATATATTTGGAAATGAAACGGCAACGCAAAAAAATCGGATTTCACAAAAAATCAGAATTGAGCATCAAGGCCTGCAGTGTGAACATAGCCTTAGTAAAAGTTATTGTAAGTAAGTCATTGTTTGGTAACAAAAAAGTCATGACATTTATCTGATCAGGCATATTTTTGGTTCTCTGATGTAGGATTTAATCTGGGGGAACTCCGTGACTTCTCAACCAGGTGGTCCAAAGTGAACAGATTCAAAATTCAGACAGTTTAATTTCGCAACACTTTAGTGCAGTCAGTTGCTTTCAAGGGCACCAAGCCTGGAAGGTCTAGCCCCGAGCAGCGAAAATGTACACAGCGTTGATTTAGTATTTATTATCTCTGCTAAGGAGGTTATATTTTAGGAGAGTTTTTCCGTTTACATGATAACTTTAAAAGTTATGAACATATTTACATTTTTTTTTTTTTTTTTTTAACCAGAGGTGCACCTCCTGTCAAGGAACAATTCCTAAACATTTCGTAATGATCCAGCTCATGTGCAAGTTTTAGTTATAGGTTTCATTTATTATATGGGGGGACATTTTCTGCTCAGTTGAGGTCAGTGCTCTCTGATTGCTTTTCTAGTTATTGATGCTTTTCCTTCTTTTAATTACTTTGAGAATGAACAAATGTGCAGAGGACAGTCAACAGTGAACAAAAAAGGATTTGCTTCTAAAAAAAAGACACTATTGACTTTACTTGGAATCTTATAAGAAAAGGTCAGTCATGCTAAAAATTATGTTATTTTATCCATCAAGTTTTTTGTGTGATTATTCATTTAGGATTTGAACCGAAAATTAAAATATGCAGGTTCATTAGGAGCATGCAGGGACATTTAAATGTTCAACAACTGATAGCAGGGACCTCTGAAAAACTATGATGCAATTAAAAAAACTGAGACTTTAAAACAGCACAGGCTGTTTGGATTAAAGATTTGTCTCATCTTTTTTTTTTTCACAGGAAGATCAAGGCAAAATTCAGACACAGGCCACTTTGGAACATTCAGGATATAGAATCTACAGATCTTCCAGATCATAGTCTTTGAATGTATGATCTGATTGAATTGTAAAGTGCCTTGAGATTACATGTGTTGTGAATTGGCACTATATAAATAAACTGAATTGGAATGGAAAATGCCACTGTCTTATATTTACTTTACTTAGGGTAGATATGCTATACATGTCGACGAAATCTTCTGTTACATTTTGAGGCAGACAGTTGGATTTAATGTAATATTCTGCAACGTGATGAGCCAGTACAGATCTGAGGGCTGTCAAATGGAGACCAGATCTAATCCAGGACTTTAAAGTTTGGATTAAAGCATACTTAGATTGGGGAAGATAATAAAGTAAGATGTTACTTGATATTTACAAAAAGTGTTTTCATATGATGAGATGAATTACATGTTTTCTACAGTTAATTTGTGTGAACTTCTGTGGGAAATATCACAGGATGCTGTAAATGCTGCTTTTTTAGCCACCAGATTTATCAAACCTCAATTCGCAAATTTGGTTCAGCCATAATGCACTCTTTTTGATTTAGCAAATCCCTCATGGAATTTCTACAATGTCCCAAAATTATATCTATGGCAGGTTGTTTGCAAACGATGTCCGCTGTGTTTATCTACCTGCATCCTGGTCTTTACCACGTCCAGAGGCGTGTTTCCAAAAACACTGGCTGCTCCTGCTGTGGCTCCAAACATTGCAGTGACAATTGGGTGCATTTCTCGCCTAGGCTCATCACCTGAGGAGCCAAAACCACAAAATGGACGAAAATCATAAGAAGGACATTAAATGGAATCCTCCTTTTTCCATTATCTGTTCAGGAAAATTGCAGGGGTAAGTTCTCACCATTGTACCAATTCCGCAAGGCGTTCATGACATAGAACCTGATGGCCTGATTACTCCCTTGTTTAAGCAGAGTCGGTGTTAATCCTTGATACGTTCCCCTCAAACCTGAATAAGGTAAACATACAGTTTGTACATTATGACTAAAGATGTTCGTATACAACAAAAAAAAGCTGCTCCAGTTCTGCGAACTCACCCTGTTCCCTGATAATCTCACTAACTCCATGGAAGAAGCCCCTGTAGCGAGGTCTGAGGGAACACTGGTCATGAATGAGCTTCACCTATGTCAAGCAAGACAAAGACATACATTTGACAAACTGAAGATGATTTTCATGATGAAAGGGTCGCGTCTTAACTAACCTTCAATGTTTCCATGGGGCAGACGACTAGCACAGCCTCAGCTATCCCTGCTCCTAAACCACACAGGAGGCTCCGTTTGTTGTCAAGCCGACCGGTATGATCTCGCATTGGATTACTGAGCATTTCAAACGTGCCAAACCTGGAAAATTGGAGATTCCCGCATAAAAAAAAAAAAATTAAAATAAGAAAGGAACAAAAGAAAATGTGTAAAAGAACGGCAACTTTTATTTATTTTTGCTGGTTGGATTTTCAAAAAAAATATATATATATATATGTAATAGCTTTTTTTTTAAGGTGTTTTATACCACCTGTGACAAAATAGAATCTCATCAAATGTCTAAACCCGAGTCTCCATGAGAATATCAAACATAGTACTTCAGTACAAAATGAATGATTCCCAAAGAGTTTTTAGCTTAATATCTGGTTTGGCTCTTTGCTCCATTTTATTTATTCATTTTTATTTCTTAATGTCACAATCTACTGATCAGTTTTTTATCAACTGTGTAGTACACCGATTTGACAAAATATTTGTTAAAGCAAAGCAATACTCCATATAGAAACTCGGAATAACTGCTTACTTTACTGAGCTCTGATCTGATGCAGATGACAAGATGCAACAAATAATTCATTGTTGGTTTAATAATTGTATATGCTTTGTTTTCTCTCCAGATTTAACCCTGTTATGTTTCCCACCCTAATATTCTCAAAGGAGTAACAAAAGGAAAAGAAAAAAAACTGCAGTTTTAGCCTTGGCATAGTAAAAGCTCTGTGGTCAGAAAGCTCTATGTATAGCGTGTTTATTTTGTCACCTGACTGCAGATTTGGGTATGGAGCCATATAGCAGAGAGCTGAGACCTCGATACAGTCCTCTGAGACCGTGATCCTGCACAGTCAGCCTCACACAGTCACCTATGCAAACCCAGAGCAAACAGTTAGAGGGATACCCATCACAAAGCAAGCACAGACAGGGGCGTAGCCAGAAAATTTTAATAGGGGTGGCCAGTCAAAAACCAATGTACACTGAGGGGTAGCCGAAAGCAGATAGGCACCAGAACCTCACAGTCAATCTACACCGTTTCAACAGGAACGAGCACAACATCCATATTTTTTTAAATAAAGACAAACTAAACTTTCCTACAGCCTTTGCTAACAAATAGATGCATTTATTTAAACATCCATGCTGTCAAAAAAAAAAAGTTATAGTGGACAAAATTTCTGGGCTGAAAATCTTTTTCATTTTCATAACTTACCTACTTTTATCAAAAGTTATGTTGCATAAAATTAATATTTACATGTACTAATATATCTTCATTAAGTGGATGTTTAAGTTTTTATTAAAGTAGTTATTTATCTGATTTCACTTAAGACATCTAGATGACTAACAGAGACATTATTTTCTGTATATATCAGCTTTAATGTTAATATTTTGATGTGCTTTAGTTGTCAAGTAATTGTTAATATATGAAAAATGTAAATGTTTAATAAGTTTTAACCTTCCCCTTGAGAGTATTACTGCTGCCATCTGTATTACAGAATGGTAGGGGTGGCCACAGATTGGCTAAGGGGGTCCATAGCCACCTCTGGGCCCCCATCTAGCTCCGCCCCTGAGCACAGAAACTAATACCAACCCATTTGGTCATCCCATTAAGTCCCAGTGACCTACCAATTCCTCTGTAACGTGGAGGATTGGCTCGCTCATCCAGCTGCAGTTGGGTTTTCACATACTCTGTGGGGAAGGTGATGCAGATCTCTATTGCTCCTGCTATGCCACCTGAGAGAGAGATGCAGAGATAGACAAACTTCAAATGCATTATGTAAATGTATAAGTAAAAGTATTTCATATGGGTATAATAATGGGATGTGCAGGAGAAGAAGGGATGAAGGTCTGTGATGCATCTGCTGTAGCATCCCAGCTGGCAGGATGCTCTTTGACCCACTTCTGCTTGGATAGCTTTAGGGATTACTGTTCTCTGTGCAACACACAAACAACAAACTACTGCTTTGAAATTAATAATCCACCTGCAAGTATAGCTTTTCCGGGGTGGGTGATTTTCCTGCCTCCGATCGCAGCCGCCGCCAGGTTCCTTCTCCCCTCGCACAGCCCTGTGGCGGCCAACAGCAGGGGTGGGGGCCGCTGCTGATGGAGAGCCGAGCACAGGCCCGCTCTGCGGGCAGCGCAGCTCCTACAGGCCCCCTCACAGGCAGGAAACGGCAGCGAGGACATTTTGACGGTAAGGGGTGACTCCACAAATGGGGTCCAGGGAGCGCTGGTCCCGGAGACAATGTGGAGGAGACAACAACAACACAAGAAGGCGGGGCAGCAGCGTGGCGGCGGAGGTCAGGTGATGGCGCGTGCGCTCCACTCACCATCATGCTGCCTGCTTACATTTACAGTCACGTGACTTTAGCATGACTTTCACAGCCAATAGAGTGAGGGATGCTGATCAACTGATGTCATATCTGTTTTACTCCCATCAGGCTTGATGCATGTAGCAAGTATAAACTGATCTTATGCATTAATCATCTAGAAAGTGGGTGAATCCCTTTTATTTTCTACTAGATGTTGATGGATTTACTAAGAAATATTTAAACATCAATAAAAGCCTACTTGTAAATTGGAACTCACATTTTAGCCATGAGCCTGGTGTAATTAGTGGGAGAAGATGAATGGATTGATATTACATTTGAATTTAATAAACATAGAATGAAAAAAAGAATTATTACTTATACTTCTCAATAATGCTTTAAAAAAATTATTTTTGTAAAAAACAAAAAAAAAAACAGCCACACAAAATAGTCGGCATTGTGGTTGGACTTCATAAACCTGGATTTTTTTTACATTGCAAAGCCACATCATGCGTTGTATTTTCTTATGAAAAACACAAATTATGCACAATTTCTTACCATTGTGAGAATTTTTATAAATTATAAGCAAAATTTGACATTAGCTTGTATTTAGCTAAATTGCCATCTCAGTGGTATTTACAATTTTACATTCTAAAACTATATGCTTTAGTTTATACAATTCCATTATATCTTGTTTGAGTCTTTATGGCTGTTGACCGTTTGGTAGATGAAACTGTTCCTCGTTATCAAGTCGATTGCAATTTTCCGTCACTGTGCTGTATTTGGTTCCATCTATCTTTCCATTATGAAAAGATTCTCTACATTATACTAACACCACTGTTTCAGGATGTGTATTGTGTGTTAAGAATAATAATAATGATTAAACGTTATTGATCTCACACTGGTGAAATTTACCTCTGCATTTAACCAATCCTCTTGGGGAGAGGAGGCTGGCATTGTGTGGCACCTGGGGAGCAGTGTCAGGTTTAGGGTCTTGCTCAGGAACCCAGAAGGGATGCTGTGGAGATCGAACCGGGTACTTGCAACCTTCTCAGAACACAAGCGCACTGCTCTAACCACTAGGCCAACACCCCCCTCTTCTTATGTTTAATGTTGTTGTTTTTAACAGACATTAATTGTTTTTTGTTTTTTTGAACACAGGCAAAGAAGGTCAGACTTGGTTTCACCGGGCAAGAACTCTTTTTCACAGATGAGCTTTGTCCCTACATTGCCTTTGTCAAGAGGGACATCTTTCATCTTGCCCCATTTCCCAAAAGGTGTCCAACAGAAAAACTCTCCCAACTAAAGCTTACATATCTGCTACTCATCTAGAGTTACCCTACCTAGATGAGGACTTACCATACAGAAATAATGAAATAATTATGATTTAGCATAAAAAAATGACAAAAAAAAACGTGACTCTAAATACCGTCAACTTCTGTGCTCTCTTTTCCAATCCTTCCCATCACATAAAACATCGAGGTATGCGGTGAGGAGCAGCAGGAGACACCAGAAAAGAGAGAGATGAAGCAGATATATGAAAGCAGAATTGAAAAGTGAAGAAAAAAAAAGGTTTATTTATAATACCAATATTCCCTCCATCCCTTCTTCCCTCCATCCCCTCTTCCCTTCATCCCCTCATCCCTCCATCCCTTCCTCCCTTCATCCCCCCATTCCTTAATCCCCCAAATCCCCATCTCCAAAATAAAGAGCTTTCTAAAAAAACCTTTGCAACCTTATTGTTGCAAATAATGATGACATTGATGACCAATGAATTTCTACACTTCTAAATGTTCCAGAGTGCACTGTTGGGGCCATAATCTGGAAGTGGAAAGATCATTTCAACATAATCCGACCATGGCCAGATGCTCCTCGTAAGATTTCTGACAGAGGAGTGAAAATCATTATAGGAAGAGTTTTTTAAGCCAAAGAACACTTGTGAAGAGCTTTAGAAAGATTTAGCAGGTACAATTATTTCAAAGAAAACAATAAGTTAAGGACTCAATCGTCATGGCCTGACCACTCACTATGCAAGGCTCCATTGCTGAAGAAAAAACATGTCGAAGCTTGTTTAAAGTTTTTCACAGCATTTAGGCAAGCCTGTGAAATACTTGGAGAATATAGTCTGGTCAGATAAAACCAAAATTTAACATTTTGGATGCCATAATACATCATCTATTCATGTTTGGAGGTGAAATGGCACTGCACATCACTCCAAAAACACCATACAAACAGTGAAATTTGGGGGTGGGAACATCATGGTGTAGGACTGTTTTTGAGCTTATGGTACTGGCAAACTTCAAATAATTGAAGGAAGGATAAATCGAAAAATGTACATAGACATTCTTGATAAAAATCGGCTACCATCTACCAGGATGATGAAGATGAGACATGGGTGGACATTTCACCAAGACAATGACACAGCCAAAGAAATGGTTAACTGGTTTCAGAGAAATAAAATAAAGCTGCTAGAACGGCCAAGCCAATCACCTGACTTAAATCCAATAGAAAATCTATGCAAAGAACTAAATATCAGAGTTCATAAAAGAGGGCCATGAATACTTCAAGATTTGAAGATTGTTTGTGTGGAAGAATGTGCCAAAATCCCACCTGAGGAAGTATATGACTAAAGTCTACAAACCGGATTCCAAAAAAGTTGGGACACTAAACAAATTGTGAATAAAAACTGAATGCAATGATGTGAAGATGGCAAATGTCTATATTTTATTCGTAATAGAACATAGATCACAGCTCAAAAGTTAAATCTGAGTAAATGTACATTTTTAAAGGAAAAATATGTTGATTCAAACTTTCACAGTGTCTACAGATCCCAAAAAAGTTGGGACAAGTAGCAATAAGTGGCTGGGAAAAGGATATTAAGAATATAACGAACAGCTGGAAGACCAACTAACACTAATTAGGTCAATTGACAACAGGATTGGGTATAAAAAGAGCCAGTTGGCTGCCAACAAGACGCAGTAAGTCCCATCAAGAGAGTCCCAGATGTTCATGTCCCGGAGGTAGGAGGACCGACAGGAGATCAGAACTGAGCAGAAGAAGGAAGGCAGGATAACCTTAGAGGGCAAAGCCAAAACCAGTGTCAAAGAGGTGCTAGGCAGTCATGGCCGGGAGATCAGTGGTCCGAAGAGAAGCCAAATGTAAATCCAGAATGGTCAGCATGTGACCACAGGAAACAGTTCCAGGTTTGGTTCAATATAGCAAGGAATGTTGGGTCTCATACTTAAGAGCTTAAAACTAATAACATAAGCTTAAAAGTATGTATTGATTATAGATTAAAATCACCTGTATAAGATTAGAGACACATAGCAGGCTCACTCTCTTTCTAGTCTCTCATGAATCCTCCAGAGAAGAGCTTGCTGCCATTGGCCCTTTGTTGCTTTAAATAGTGCTTTACCCATGCCGGAGCAAACACAGACACAACATTGCTTGAATTCCCCCTTTACAGTTAAAGTAGGTCAGGTTTTCCAAACACAACCCCAGTTTACTCCGTCCCCCAAGAAAAAACATAGCATGACAGGTTATTTGTTGTTTGGTTTGTTAAATGATGAAACAGCAGCGTTTATGCTTCATTCATTTTATTACATTTTTTTTATCTGGGAGCTTGTGCCCCATTTGGTGTTTAGGCACAGTTGGAGGCATCATGTTAAGGGGCAAACGGCAGCTGAGAACTTTAGCTGAGGAGGGTAAGAGAAGGGAGACAGTACTTCCACGAGCTGTTCTTCCTTCCCCACGATGTTCTCAGTCATTGTCAGGATTATCATCTGTAATGCAAATGTATTTTCATCTACTGTATGTTCCTAATGTATTTTAGTACAGTAATTACAAAATCAAAGTTTTCTCTGTTTCCTTACTCTGATGTTGTTGAGTGACATCCTTTTAGTCAGCCTGATCTGCAGGACCCTCCCCACAGTGAGGACGTCCAAAAAAGCCCAGACACTTAGATCTACAAGGCACTCACACACATCAACCAACGCCACCAGCTCATCATCGAGTGTTTCGCTTTGGTTGTTTAGGTCCAGTTTTAGATTCTATAGAAAGACAAGAACATGTCTATTTGTTTTGATTCAATAAGGTGGTTTTACAAAGCTGTAGTTCTGCTAAGATATTTACAGGACACAATATATGTATTTGTCTGTTTTAAAAAGTGTAACAGTTATTAATGGTAGAAGAATGTGCTGATGAAATTCCCCAGCTGAATTGAAAAAAGGCAAACATGTCTGCAAAATTTAAAGTAATAAAGAGCAAGAAGGATGAATACAATGTAAACACAATGTAGAGAGTCGCTATATACAACTATATATTCCTTAAGCCTTAACTAAATATGACAAATAATACTAATATTTATATATTGCTCATAAGGCAGAAGAAGGTACCCAGACAGCTAGTGGTTGCTTGGATGAAAACCTTTCTACCACTCTTAGGCCTTTTTGTGTTATGCAATGCGGCTTCTTCTGAATTCAGACCTGCAGGCTGTGTCTGTAGCAAGGCAGCAAGTTGTGGAGCAGAGGCTTAGCACTCGTGTTTGGGTCTACTGTGTAGAAAGCAGTCATGCTGAATGCCACAAGGGGTATGTCAGGTAGCAAAATCCTTGCCAGCTGCTGTGTGTCCATGATTTGATCCACTGTGATGCTGACTTTCAGATCCAGGCAGTTGGACACCAAGTTGGACCACAAGTAACCACACACCACCTTGAAAGAGATCATTTACAACTTATATATATATATATATATATATATATATATATATATATATATATACCTCTTTGACTTATCAGTGAAATATCTACTGGCTTATTGTTTATCTTTGTACTGAGCTATTCTTTTTGAAGCTTTTACACAGCCAATACTCTGTGATCCATTTTAACCTACTTACCTGCTGATGCGGCTCATTCCGAGAGCAGTACAGTGACAAACTCTGCAGGATGTTTCCTCCTCTGCCATTGCTGGATCTCTTTTCTCTGTTACTTTGACTGAGAGATCGCAGCAAGTCATCAGACAAACAGGAATAGCTGAGGTAGAGGTGAGAGAGGCCTCGGAGCTCTTGCAGCATGGAATACATCTTGGGGATGATGTGGTTTGGCACAGTGACAGAAAAGAAGCTCCTTAAGTCCAAAGAATTAAGGCTGCAGAGGGGATAGAGTCTGCTCTGGTTTTGTATTATTGCAGAAAGAAGATTCAGACCCTGCAGGTTAAAAAGGGGAAATAAAGCAGGTACAACTGCGTTATTGTGGTAGTTATAGCTATACACACGAACTGAGTGGTGTTTTTTCGTATATACCAGTGAATAGAGAACTACACTAAAACAAGTTGTAAGGTTAGTTTGTAAGTGAGTAATATACTTCATAAAACCAGATGTGCTCATGGCTATAAGAACTGAGTTGTGTCTACAGAGATTCAGGCATTAAAGTGGTACGAAATCGAATGTCTTTCCACTTCCTGTTTTATAAGATAACCCAACCATTCAAATAGCCCTTTGACGCATATTCTTTTATGCCTATTCTTACGCAACAAACCATTTGTGTTAGTCAAACAGCCATACTGTCACTATTGGCAGTTATTACACATTCAGGGCACACTTAGGACCCTTTGAAAAACTCTTGTATCTGGTTCAACAGGTACCTGACAGTGAATGAGATTGTTGTCTGTTATAACTGTTATTAGAAATTTGAAACATGCCTAAACGATTCATATGTTTTTACACAGCAGTGAAAGTAACAACCTCAATTTCGCAACAATTTAAAGGCAAAAAGTTCATGAAATGTTTTTTTTTGCTGAGAAGAGGAAGTGCTTTGAGTTTAATTTCCCAGACAGTTGTGTATGCTCTTTGATGACACTTCCTATAAACACTTTAAGCCCTGTTGGTGCACATATTATTAAGTCTAGAAATTTTTTCAAGCCCTCAACAATGCTTAAAGTTAGAAAAATTAACAACAAGGAAAAATAAACATTTGTTGGTTTATTTCTTAATGAAAACAAAATGTGTAGACCTGCATTTCATTTTTTTATAAAATAAGTATCTTGGCAATTGATTTTCTAAAGCTTTGCAAATACCCTTTGTCTTAAATTATTATTTGCAATAATACAATTTTCAAATAATTTTTAATAACCTTAATCTCAATACAATATTTTCAAATCCTTGAATGTTATGTAGGACAGAGACCACATTAGGTATGATGTCAAATCTTTCACAGACTTGAATTGGGATTATAATTCACATGGTGTCCCTTTAAATTAAAAAAAAGGACTACAGTCCCTTCAGTTTTTGCTACAGCTTTGTCCACCTGGCATCAAAAACCACTCTTTAGAGTTTATCATCGATATTATTAATCGACTTTTCCTCCCTAATTTCTTTGTTATGTGTACTAATAGTACGTATAACATTTAATATACTTTGCTTTTAAATAAAAAGGGTGGATTGTTTTCCTTTTTGTATTTACAAAACTGAATTGTTGCTTCCTCTTTTTATTTGTTTTAGTGTTCTGGAGAGGTTGACTGAAAACTCACCAGACAATTGATTATGTTTCATAGACTAAAAATGAATTTCAAGCTAACTAAAAAAAACATACCTTTTGTAAAAATGTATATATAAAAAAAAATAATAAATAATTGTATGTCATAAAGATGCAGTTACCTGTGGCATACTGATCTGAATCTTGTTCAAGCAAATTACTTTCAGTCTTGAGGAACCAGCCGAGAGGAAAAAAATCAGGTTATCCACCAGATTATTTCTGAGGCCCCGACCCCAGGCTGACCGGTCCAGCTGTAGTCTTTCGATTGAAAGGGACTTCAACTGGGCTTTTACTCTGTGGTGACAAAGAAATGTTCAGTTTTCAAGCCTGCTCTCAGATACATGTTTAGGCTGCAAGTTGTTTTACCTGACAAGTGTCACCAGCAGGCCACATATGGTAAGAATTAGACGCTCCGCCAGCACGACGGATTGTGGAGGAGAGACAGTCACCTTCAAACTTTCCAAGAAGACCCCCAGATTTTTAGCATAGCCAACGGCTACGTTGTATTCAGACTGCTTGTATCTAGAGACACGACCAGTGAAGTAGAAGGAACGGTAGCGCCAGAGACAAGGCAGGCGCATCATGTTGTGCCAGTGATGACAAACCAGAGCTGCCTTGCTGCGATCATAGTCATTGAGATATTTGAAGATGTGCAGCAAGCAAACGTCAGGCAGCCTCTCCCACTCACCAATCTCAGTGCCACGGTTGTCTACGCTCATATCTTCGTCTTCACAGCCAGAGGAGGGAGAATCTTCCTCCCTAAACCTGTCTTCAAAATTCTCCTTGGTCTATATGAATTTGAATAGTAAAACAGGTGGTTGTCTCACAGTAGCAGCCAGTAGATACAGATTCCTGAGCCCGTTCAACTAAGAATGAACAGGCACTGTCAGAAAAAAACCCCACAAAACTGGAAATTATCTGTGAGTTAGGTATTACCTGAAGAGAAGTCCTCTCTGGCAGAACTTGCAGCAGAGAAAAACACTTTTACAGAAACTTTGGGTTATGCTACAAGGAATTAGTTATAAAATTAGTTACAGATACAAATCAAAAGAAAACACTCCAACAGTTTAATTAAAAAGAAAACAGCCAAAATTCCAAAAAAGTAAAAAAAAAAAACAAAACAAAAAAAACAACAACACTGGACTTGTTTTTTTTTAAAACTTTTTTTTGAATGATTATGACCTGGATGACTGAGAATGTTCACCCTCAAAACAGCCAACATTCCCTGGGTGAGGAGAAAACATGCAGCTATCAGGCCCCCTTGCATTTTTCTTATCGTCATGGAGATGAAGTTGAAGATGCCATTATACACCTGCTTCAATAAACCCATTGTTATTTACACAAGGCAGACAACACTGTGCGAATCTTGTTATTTGAATTATCCAATGCATTTAACACAATTCAGCCTGTGGGTCAAGCATGTAGCTGGAAACGAGAGAAATGGGCTTGTGCATGCTTGCATGCTCTCGCGCACGTTTACAGGGTACAGGGTTGGGCATGTGCATTTTTTTTTTTTTAAGTCTCAAAAATTTGCGAAAATCCCCCACAATACCTTTAACACAGTAAACATGCATCTGAGGAGTAGTTTATGACTGTCTGTATGAAGTAAAGTTGCTCGTAGGAATATATATTGCATTTCTGCACTTTTGGCAGAACCCTGATGCCATAGTAAACAAAGCTCATCATAACTTGACAAAATAGGCACTGCAACTATAAAGAAGCCATTTTGTACTATGACAACCTCCATATTTTAGGAGGAGGAGAAGCGTTGGGAGAAGCAGGTAATATTCTGCAGTCTGAGCATTAGATATGGCAGAAAATTACACACTGTAGCTTTAAGACCAAGTGGCTTGAAAAAGCTAATCTTTACAGAGCAGCAGCTTTCAGTATGTTTTCTTTTTCTCTTACAATATTTTCATGTTTTGATGTCTTTTAATCCAATAATTAGCAAACAATTTTCTTGTTCTCCCTAAAACATTTTACAGTTATCCATTCAGAAAAGATATAAATGAAAATTTTGTTGCTTTTTAAATGTAATTCTTTAGATAATTATTACATTTTGTTTAATTTGCTTTAGCATATTTTTTTTTTTCAGCATTAGTACAGAGAAACAGAAGTTGTTGTAATATTGACTGTCCATAGTATATTAGTGAAAATACAGAAATGTATCTTAAAAGTAGAAATAGCTTTATAATGCACATTTTATAAAGGTCTTAAAGAGAAAACAACAAACCTAGGAGGAGAGTTTAGTGACATTTAACAAAAACATTAACTCAAAACGATAGAAGGAATACTCCATATTATCGTACAGAGATTAACATTTATTTGCACAAGAAGAATTTGAATACAAAATGGTTGCAAAGGATTTCAATTCAAAGAAAAGGGAATATTTTTTGTCTTTATAATATATTGATAAACACATTTAATATTATTCTCTGACAGTGTAATGTTCTGTGGGTCTTTGTGTTTCTTTTTAGTCCTTTGGATTTCATATAATTTGGTTGGGATTATTTTCATTTTTGTTTTTTACTCACAGGTATTCTCATTTCATTTTTGTGTTCTGTTCATTGAGTTGCATTTTACCTTCATAGTTTTACCTTCTACAGAATTTTTTCCTTTTCATTTAGTAACATCCTTTTCTTCCCTGTGTTCATTTTTGTATTTAGTCACATTCCCTCAGCGTCTCAGGTGAGGTCCAGGAAATTAATTAAAAAGCTCAGAAAATCTGTAAGAGACGAGGAACTAGAGAATGTAGCTAAAGATAACAAGCTAAACAAGGGATGACAGTAACAAGCAAATTGGTACAGACACAGCAGGAAACAAGAATTTGACAGTGGAGGGACATAAATGGAAATAAACTACTGAATAAGTGATGAGCAACATGGGAACCAGAGCAGACTAATTAAATGCAGCTACCACTTCTATATAAGGTAATGTAAAATTATCTATAAATATGACATTTTAAATGCAATCATATATAGATAAATGGTCCACTTGGAGATTAAGATGGTACCACAGTAATGAATTAATGCAAAATGTGGAAATATACTATACTAATGGTATAACATATCTAACCATTAGTTAAGTTGAGACATGACTAAGAATTTTGTAATACACAAATAATTTAGAAGTTTGGATACTGAAATAAAATTTAAATGCAATGTTTAGATTGATTTGATCTTTCACAGTGATTAATTTTCTTTCTTGGAACTCCTCAGCTCCTCAAACAGCAGACATTTTGCCTGTGAAGAAAGAAATATATTTTTTGTTAACATTGAGTAAATTTTAGTTGTGTCTCTTTGAAAAGCATCTGTAATGACCTCATGCCAGCGCAGGGTGTCAGGGGTCAAGCCAAGATGGCAGTGTGGACAGATGTCTGTCTGATCAGCCTCCTGGGTTCTTTGTCCCCAGCTAGGCCCCTCGCTTCCCCACAGTGGCTGACATGTAGAGTGGGAGGAGCAGGCGACACCAAAGTGAGGCCGAGGGTCTGTCTGGTAGTTTATTTTCTGGCCACTAGAGAGCAGAGGTAATTCAGGATCAGAGTTTTCCTGAAACAGGGAACAGATACCTGCAGTTTAATGCAATGTCTGATAAGAACTATGCTGTAAATACCCGTTTTATTGTTTGGATGCGACACTTTCACATCAATAATCAAGGAGATTTGCAGGGTGAAACCACAGTATTTTAGTGGTGCTTGTTTGCATGTAAAGAGTCAAAGCAACACTGTTTTTAGGGCCACATAAATAATTCTTTACTTGAATTAAACCAAAGTTACATTTATCCAATACACTTGATGCAAGACAGAATATTTTACCTGGATATATATACATTTACAAGTGGCTAAATGGAACAGACTTTGGTTTGTTTATCGTTGTTTTATTGTTATGTGTATTTCTTTTGAAAGACTTCAAATTAATTTAATAATTTTTGTCTTTCAATGTACAGTTGTGCCTTTGAAAATTAAATTGCATTTCAAAGGAGGCTTGAATAATTATTTAAAAACACAGAATTCTAATAATTAAAGAGAAGAACAAAGAAATAAGCTTAAAAAATTGCAGTGTTCTCTTCAAGAAGCAAAATGTGTCGGAAAAGCAACATATCGAATAAGATGTCAGTTCTTTTTTCTTTCTTCTTTGTCCTGTAAATAGTCTGATGACTTCTGCTAATTTCATAATGTATTAATTGGAGTATATCACTGCACAGAAAAATCCATTCTGCAGTCAAAATTTCATAGAAGAATTATTTTTGTTTGACTTTTTAAGAAGTTTAGAGCTCGCTTTTCATTTTTGAAACATAAGCAGAGTAGGTGTCAGTCTGTAGAGCCAAAATCTTTCAGTTTGGTTTATTGGTCACCTATGTGCTGTTACACAATTGTTAAAGAACAATGGGGAAAAGTCTGAAAGAACAAATTTACATAAGTCCAAATGACTACTGCCTAATACAATAATATTTGGTAAAAAAAAAAAAAAAAAGATCATTTCAGAATTAGATGAAGCATGTATCTGCAATGTAAAATTTTACACATAACAGCAATTTACTTTGCTGATAAGGCACTACATACAGTCACACATAGAGATTGGACTGTATAAATAATAAACAAATGCAAGTTGAATAGCGACAATAGGAGATTAGAAAATATCGGTAAATCAATTTGACAGATGAGATCAACTAAGCCATTCCAAGTTTACATATTAAGCTGTATATATCCTTAAATGTGTGTTTTTTAAGCTGGCCTAATGTGCAGGTAAAACCAGATAAGAGAGGTAGAGTGAAGAGTTTGTAATAATGGAAGAAAAAAACCTTACAATGACACAAAAAAAAAAAACAGTTTATAGTAACTGAAGAATCCTCTATTAAAATATAAGACGTCAGGGGTTTAAATGCTAAATGAGCAACATGGAAAACAGCTGTCAGAATGACAGCATGCAACGTGCCTGTCCAAAGAGGTTTCCACAGCTGGTTCTAATGATTGTAGTTCAGTCCAATCCTGTTAATGAGCTATCAATTGAAATCAGCTGTGCTGAAGCAGGGGACCTCTACAAGCTGCATGGCAGCAGCCTTCAAGGGTCAACTTTGGCTGGCTGGGCATGGATGATCACCAAATAACACAAAGAGAGTTGAAATGAGACACAGACAAACTTTTACCAAGGGTGTAAATGTTAAGTAAAAAGAACAAGACATAAAAAAAAAAAAGTAAGAAACTTAACAAAAAAGGATTGAACTTTTAAAACACCACCATAGAAACAAACAAGGAAATACTGAAAATATCAAAAGAAAAATGAAAGCAAGAAATACTGGGGGGAAATCCAAACCAATAGTTCATTGAAAATCCTTTCATTAATTTAGAAAAAGATGTTTCAGTTACTCTTTTCCAAATGATGTCCAATTTGGACATTTTAGATCATTCCGTTAATTTTAAAATCAACCATTTTAGACTATGTGTGATTACATTCCTATTGATTAAATGATCTCAGTCAGAATATTACCTCCTGTTTCGTAACTTTGGGAAAAGATTCAGCCTCAAGAGACCTCAGACAATACCAGCATGGCTCAGAAGGGGCATCTGTAAAGACAGACATTACACAATGTGTCTATGGTTCATTGTAACAGATGTTTCTTTAAGGTAAAAAGCCACACACAAAAGCTAAAAATAAAAACTCCCTCAAATTCACAAATAGGGTCTGATCATCAAAAGGCTTGCATGTAAAAGAAAACATACAAACCAAAAAAAAATGTGCAAAGCTAACCCTCATACCAGGTGTAAAAGAAGCTGTGTTAGTGTATGAGTTAATAAATACACAGATCATACTCTTACAAACAAACTGCAAAAATACTGGGTGGGGGATGTTCAAATGTAAATACTTGTTGCCAGGAATGTGATTAATCAGTTTTAAAGGATCGGAAGGGCAGTTTTTGTCTATATATGGCTCATTTGAAAGTCAGATGCAAAATCATCGCAAAAGGTTCTGCAGTCTTTGTGATCACAAAGGAGGCATTGGTATAATGGAAAACAATCGAGGGAGAGTCTGTGCACAAGGGACTATATTTGGTTAGTCAGAAATAACAACAGTTGAATATTTCTGAAAAAAATGACTTCCGGGTAGGAGAGATTGTTGCAGCTGAAATAAAACAATCTTTATTACAATGGGCTCTATGCACAATTGATCTACTTCCTGAACTCAAGGCAGCTTCTATGTTTACTATCTTTGGCCCAATCCTAAACCGGCCCCTAAACACCATGACTGAGCACCCAGCAGTGTTAATTTCTTCAACCAGGACGATGACGAAAATATTTCGATAATGCCCCTTTTCCCCATGACGATGACGAGACGATGACTCACAAAAATTGTTTCAAGAAAATAAAAATATGATGAAAATTAAAAAAAAAATTTCGTTAACGAGACTTAAGACCAGACGAAATTTACGAGCCATGGACGAATGGACATTAAGAAATGTAAATGTTTATAATTAATTTGTAATTCTTAATATAAGTGTTTCTTTTGCTTCATGGAAGATTACGCGTTTTTGTCCCTAGACGGCACTTGTCCCTCACTGCCTCGCGCCGCTCAGTCAATAGTAGCAGAGGGCCTATAGTCCTAGCTCAGCTTCGCAGTCATGGCGCTGGGCTCAGACCATTTGTTGGAGGAGCTGGGCAAAAACAACGCCTGGATGTATGGAGCCATTTCGTTTACAACGCGAAGTTCCTATGCTCCATTTATCAGGAACAAACTTCCAGAAACTGTAAAAGTGCGGAAAGCCTGAGTTCCTTTAAATCAAGACTAAAAACACATTTGTTTAGGATTGCCTTCGACTGTTCTAGTTAAACAGTTCAGCTGAAATATTATAAGTTCAACTTTTTTATTTCCTTTAGTTCAACTGTTTTTAATGGTCTTTCTTGTTTCTGCATTTTTTATTATTTATTTATGTTTTTTTTCTACTTGTTTTGATTCTGTTTTATTTTCCTATATTTTAATCATGTAAAGCACTTTGCATTGTCTTTGTACTGAATTGTGCTATAAAAATAAATTTCCCTTGCCTTGCCTTAGATTTCCTCCTCCAAACCACAGCCAAATCAGACATTGGGGAAAGACAGGAAGTCTTTTGCAGAGATGTTGGGAGCACCCCCCACCATACAAACCTCATGCCAAAAAGCAGACAAAAGTTGACAAAAGATTCAACGTGTACAGTGTGAAATATTTAAATAAGAAAAGCAGTGTGTGGAGAAGTTCTATTATTTACGGTGTTCACTAAAATGACTAAAATTTGACTAAAACTAAAATAGATTTTTATCATTGTGACTATGACTAACACTAAATAAAAAAAAGCTGACGAAATTAACACTGGCACCCACCCTCCATTTGCGTGTTGCTGCAGAGGGTCTGACACATTAAGTGCACACATTAACTTTGAGAGACTGTTCTGACTCTCAAAGTAGGGGGTTACATTTTACTTCTGCTCCTGCAACTCCCTGCACTGTCCCTGCTCTACTGTGTGTTGTCTTTTCTGAGCCCTCTCTGCATATCACCCGAATTCAAACAATGGATTTGGTCAGCTAGTCTCGCAATGCAATTGATCAAAATTTCTCAACTGTAAGACAGGGAAAGGGGACCAGTCCTGTCTTGCTTGGATATACTTTGTGGGATACACCATGTACTCATAGAAGGCTTGGAGGATGGTGCATTTTACAATATATGATACTTGGATTTCTTCTTTTTGGATTTGGAGGATACCTGATGTATCTACAATTACAGGATGTCGGTGGCAATTTGGGCATTGATCAGGCTGCCGGCAGCAGTTGACACGCTCACAATGGCTGTGAACAAGCAGGACTGGGAGCTGAGCCGTATGCTGGGTGTGATTGAATGCAAGCTGGCTGTGGTGGTTGAATTCAAAGATGAGATGGAATAATATCTTGGATGTGCACACTCACTTCAAGGCGGAAAAACGCAACAAATTTTGAATATTGTATTCACCATGTGGAGCCCAGCGACAAAAGACTTCAAGTCTGATGAAAATTCAGACTTGAAATTCTGTGCAGCAAAACAAAAAGTGTATTTTGGATTACGGCCTCCCCTTATCAAGGCTGGATGTTATGGCGAAAGGGCCCAGAACAGCCAGCTCCCCCCAACCCCTACCCGTGGACACCTGTAAACACATTCAGAACTATAGCCCTTGATAAACTTCCATCTTATAAAGGCCAATGGCCTCTGGACAGCGTTCATGGACAAATTGAATAATTGAATGCACTCATTCATACACACACAATTGATGCTCAAATACTGGACTGACATTTGACTCCAGCCTCCAAGATTTTCCTTCTGCTGAGATGTTTGTCACGTGTTACATGTGCTTTTCTTGTGCTGAGGTGTTTTTTTATATATCTAAAACTGTACCAGGATAAAGTTTGAAAAATGCTTTTTTTCCCCCTCTCCCTCCCCAATGTGGCTCCTGTCTTTCCACAGAGAAAAATGCCATGATTGCTGCCCTATGAACTGACCAATTTTGCTCATTTAAGTCACCTGCCTAACCCGTGGTAACTAATATCTCCTGCACCTGCTCCTGCTGCTTTATATATGGCTCAACCCAGCTTTCAGGGACATATCATTGTATGTTTCTTTGCTTGTTTGACTTTGAGTTTTTAGTTGGAGAACATGGCTGACTTCCATGATTCGTGTGCTCATTCTAGGAGACCAGTGGTTACGGTTGGAGACAGTTTTTAGTCTTGTCTCTGTGTTTCCTGATCATGTCCTGGCACTTGTCTGGTGATAGCGCCCTGTTCCTGTTTTGGCTCAGTGGAGGGAGCTAGTTTAAAGTTGCACACTGAGTCTGCCTGTTTTCCTTCTAAATATTTCTGCCTCGGCTTGCTGTTAGACTCGTGGAACCCTGACACTGCTTGAACTCTCTGTGGATTTCTGAAACCCTGGATCTGTCTGTTCCTTTTCTGTTCAGAACCCTTGGCCAGGTTGCAGGCTCATGGATCTCAGAACTGTCCTGTTCTGAACTGTTTCCTGACCGGGCTTGGACTCCTGTCTGTTTACTGAGGCTGAAGTCCCCACCTCAGCTCTTTGGCAGTCCATTGGCTGGATCCTGCCTTGCTCTAAAGAGGATGGACTGAACTGTTAAACCAGGTAAGTGACTCACATTGATAATTATCTTCAGTCAGATTATCATGGTCACTTACTTGTGTTTCTCCAAAAACACAGGTAAGTGCTGCACTCAGTCTTTTCAATAAAACGCCTTTCAAGTATCACTGTCTGTCTCATCTAAATTCTGGGTCCTATGTTCTGAGTCTTCTGACAGAATAATCTGGCCAAACATGGATCCATCAGTGGAGAGACAATGGAGGCAGGATTTGAATTCAGTATTACTCAATTAGAATCAGGTGTGGGGGACATTCTCATCCAGCTACACAATCAGGATTCGCCTGCCTCTGATTCCTCTTCCACTGCAGAACCTGATCTGTCACCTGCTCAGGCTAGCATAGCCAGCCAAGAGGCGCGCCTGTCATCCCCAAATTTATTTAGGGGCAATCTGGAACAATGAAGAGCCTTTTTGACTCAATTTGAAATCCACTTTGAGCTGCAGACCTCCGTGTTGCCTTCTGATTGGGCAAAGTTGTCATATCTGATCTTGCTGTTAGCAGGCAAGGCAAAGTTATGGGGAATGTCGGACTGGTAGAATAATCCCGTTCTTTGTAGTTCTTATGAAAGTTTCTCCAAAGAATGAATTTGAGTTTTCAGCCCAGTTCTCCCTAGCAGGGAAGCTTCAAGAGGACTCCTGGCATCAAGACTGGGGAATCCGTCTGTGTCTGATTGCATAATCGACTTCCACTTGGCTGCTGAAAAGCCAGTGGAAATGAGCACGTTCTCATGGATGTCTTCACCACTGGACTCAGCAAGACAATCAAAGACGAGTTCTCCACCCAGGATTATCTTCGTTCCCTTAAGCAGCTGGAGGAGTTGGCAAGCCAGATCGATCTTCGCCTTAAGGAGCGGTGCAGAAAGCATCATCGGTACACTTCTTCTTCTGCTTCGGAATCTCCTCGCCAATCTGGTCCGGAGCCGATGCAGCTGGAATGCACACACCTTTTCAAGGAGGAAGAGGATCTCCACTTCAAGCTGGGCCTCTTTCTCTACTGCGTTGGTGAGGGATATTTGTTGAGATCTTGTCCAGTAAAAGGACAGGCTCTATAGAAGCAGTAAGGGATCCTGCTGAGCCATGCTAGACTATCTGCCTCCCCAGAACTCCTGCTCCCTGTAACTGTTTCTGTCGGTGCTCTCAGTCATAGTCTTTTAGCTTTTGTGGACTCTGGAGCTGACACCGGGTTTATGGTTGGGGACCTGGCCAGAAGACTCAGCATTAAGCTTGGTCCACCAAAATACTCCCACAAGGTTCTAGCCTTAGATGGTCATGAACTTGACCAGTCATCACTTATGACTGAACCGGTGGATGTACTGGTGGGTGGTAAGGCCAATTTATGCTTCCGACGCATAACTTCTGCAACCGTCAAATCTGTCTCTGTGCGCGACAATGCCCCCCGCGCAGAGGTTCTGTAACTGAAGTCAAGCACCTCAAAAAAATCCTGACTATGCGTCGGACAGTCGCAAAGCTGCGCAGACCTCAAGCAGAAGTGCGCAGAGAAAAAGCAGCTGTGATTGGTCCTTGGTATGCCTTTCTGGCTGTCTGTGTGGTCATCCTTCTCGATTCAGTGCCGGGGGGGCGCCATTTAAAAAAAAAAGGAGGAACAACTACAATGGACAACCTACATGTACACCTTTGGCTTTTTGCCGACTCCATTAACAGAACATGTTCTTCTTCAATGTCTAGCAACTCTAGATTAATCTCTGTGACTATGATATCTTGCAGACGCGCCATTGTTGTCTTGGTAGATCAACTGTCCCGCCGGCGCTGCCGAAGTTCTCGTGACCATCCGGCGAAGTTCTTGCGAGTTCTCGAATAGGCTCCCCCTTGCGCTGTGGGAGGAAACTGCTGTGTGTCTCTAGAGATTCCAGAACGACGGTGTAGAAGCATACCAGCAAAACTGGTTCGGGACCAGACCCAAGCAACATTTGATGTGTGCAGTTGCAGAAGTATAATCTGCCCGTTAATCATGTTGAAATTATATCCTTTATAATCATTATTTCTCCTCAGGTTCCAGTAATTTTAGGCTTAACCCGGCTTAACAAGCATAATCCACATATCAATTAGCAGAAGTTGGAGGTTTTAGGCGGGGGTACTTCCTGTCCTGGTTCCTGTCTACGCCCAGCCAAATCAGAAGCCTCAGCTAAGAGTGAGGATGAGGATTATTACCCTGATCTCTCTAAGATTTCTGTGAAGTATCACAGTCTCCAGGAGGTTTTCAATAAAAGCAGAGCTACTGCTCTATCTCCGAATAATTTGCTGCCAACACACACACCCCCTAGAGGTAGATTTTTTTTTGTTATCTGCTCCTGAGACTCTCGCTATGGAGAAATATGTGACGCATAATTCGTCCCTTTTCTTCCCCTGCTGGGACGGGCTTCTTTTTTGTGGGGAAGAAGGATGATTCCCTCAGCCCATGTATAGATTTCAGGGGTCTTAATGACATCATATTCAAGATTGCTACCTCATCTCTTTGAACAACTCAGCTTTTAACCAGATTTAGGGGGCTAAGATTTTTTCCAAGCTGGATCTTCGCAATGCTTACCACCTGGTCCGCATCAGTGAGGACGAATAGAATACTGCTTTCAATACTCCCACTGGCCATTATGAGTATTTGGTGATGCATATTGGGCTCACTAATGCTGCTGCTGTTTTCCAGAATCTGGTTAACGGCATGCTCAGGGACATGGATGGACATTTTATATTTGTTTACCTTGAGGACATTATTATTTATTCTCAGGATTTAGAGTCCTGTATAATACATTTCAGATCTGTCCTGCTTTGTCTGCTTCAGAACCAGCTGTTTGTCGAGGCAGAAAAATGTGAGTTTCATGTTAACACTATGTCGTTCCTAGGCTTTGTGCTCTCCCCAGATCAGATCTCCATGGACCCCATGAAGGTGTGTGCGGTTGCCGGCTGGCCGGCTCCCTGTAATTTGAAAGCAGCTACAGAGATTCCTGCGATTCGCCAACTTTTATCACAGGTTTATCAGGAACTAGAGTCAGGTGGCCACGCCCCCTCATGCTCTCACCTCCTCCAATCCAAGGTTAGGTTATGTTGGTCTGATCAGGCTAATCGGGCTTTCCAAAGGCTTAAGTCCTCAGAAACCTCAGGTCACCTCAATTAATGACTACCGGCCTGTCACACTTTTCCCATGATGATGAAGTGTTTCGTAAGGCTGGTTAAAGAACACATCGTCTCCAGTCTCCACCCAACATTCGACCAGTTCCAGTTTGCCTACCGACAGAACCACTCCACTGATTATGCCATCTCCTCTCCTCTGCTCTTCACCTGAGCCTGGCACACCTGAAGGAGAAGAACACCCATGTGCGGATGCTGTTCCTTGACTTCAGTTTAGCTTGCAACACCATCATCCCACCACATCTGATAAGAAAACTGGAACAGCTGGGCTTCAATACACCCCTCTGCAATTGGCTGCTAGACTTTATCACAAAGAAACTTCAGTCCTTCCAGGTCAGACAGAACACCTCTGATGTCATCACCCTAAGCACAGGCTCCCCTTAGGGCTGTGTCCTGAGGCCCCTTCTGTTCACCTTGGTGACACACGTCTGCGTCCCCAGGTTCACCACTTATCACATCGTGAGGTCCGAAGACAACACCACAGTGGTGGGCTTCATTAAAGATGGCAATGACCACGACTACAGAAAGGAGGTGGAGCAGCTGGTGCAAAGACAACAACCTGACCCTGATTGTAGAGAAAACGAAAGAGATCATCATTGACTTCAGAAAGAATCAGCCTAACCATAGTCGACTTCTCATCAACAGGTTAGCTGTAGAGGTGGTCAGCAGCACCAAATTCCTGGGGATGCACTTCACAGACAACCTCACCTGGACTGTAAAGACCACCTCAATGGTCAAAAGGGCACAAAAGTGCATCTACTTCCTGAGGAGGAGGACGAGAGCCCATCTGCCCCCACCCATCCTCACAACCTTCTACAGAAGCACAATAGAGAGCACTCTGACCAGCTGTCTCACTATGTGGGGTGGAGGATGCAAAGCAGCATACTGGAAGAAATTGAAGAGAGTAGTGAGAACTGCAGAGAAGATCATCCGGGCTCCTCTTCCCTCTACAAAAGACATTTCATCCCAGCGCTGCATGTCCCAAGCCTATAACATCGTAAGTAACCCCTCACATCCCCACCATGGACTGTTCTCCCTGCTGCCCTCTGGGAAGAGGCTTCAAAGCATCCGATGCAAGTACAGCAGATTCCAAAACAGCTTCTTTCCCGCTGCCATTAGAATGCTGAATGTTCAATAAAACGAAGAAAGAAAAAAAAAAAAAAAGGCTTAATGTTGGAAAACTGTAAATAATATCTCAGTCTTATGTTTACCTCTGATCAACATGTTTACATTTTATCACTGCTGCACCTTAAGAAATGGAAATGTCTTGAGAGCTGTACTGAATAAAATTTTGATTTGTATACATCCTGTGTGTACAAAATGACAATAAAGTTTGTCTAAGTTAAACCAGAAATAAAAACATTAAAACTGAATCTAAATGTAACGGCATGTCAATGAACAAACAGAACTTAATATTTACGTCCATCTGAGAACAACATGAATATGCCTCTTTAAGTTGTGGGAAGATGAATCTGTTCTCTCCTTCAACATTCCTTTACAGCCTGCATATGGAGCACAGTTGTGTAGCACTAAACTGCTATGTGCCTACTTTGGTTTGTAATTATTTGGGTCGTGGGGGTGTCATAAGAAGTCTGCGGATGTGAAATCAACTGTTTAGAGCATAGTTTCAATATAAATCTGAAAGTAGCTCCTTCTAGAACTAGACTCACTTAGAGGGGATAACAGGAGAGCTGACAGCTTTTTCAGGTTTTATGGCTGATATTTAAGCTCTTAAATCTGTCATTTTTCATCTTTTAAATTTTGACCATAGCTTTGTAGCACTTCTAGATACTCATTTGCAAAGTGCACCCTAAACATTATTATCGTATAATTTCTTCAAGCTCCATGGCTTTGAAGTTCATTGCTCTTTTACAGCCACTCCCACACTTCCAGGAAAAAAACGCAATTTGCTTTTTTAAATCAGGCAAACAGTACTTGTTTTGCATGTCTTACCCATTTCCATTTCATGTATACACCCATAACATGCCAAACAATTTCCCACACAATTTAGCGCAACTTATTTACAATTTTTAAAAATCAGACTTAGACAGTTTTGATCATTATTTACACACCTTAAATTTGTTTTCACATTTTCTCAATCAAACTAAACAGTTTTATGTATTTGTTCAATTTTTATTAGATATAGGGTAGCCATACAGTAAAACGATTATTATTTTGAAAATTAGAAAAATGTACAATACATTTAAAAATCTAAGGTGCTCTGATATCTTAAAATAAATCCAGTGCAACTAACTGTCTTCTGGACTTGGTAACTAAATAGAGTCTACCTGGTTGCCATTTAGTCTCAGTGTTAATCCAGCCACTCTGTGAAGGCTTCAGCAGTTTAATGGAGAATATAAGTAAACACGTTAGTGAGTTTCATTAAGTCTGATGCTCACTAAAGTGTAGGTCAAAGAGAAAGTTGCAGGATGGCAACGAGAGCATCAGAAAGCAACAAAGTACATTGAAAGGTTTGGTTTTACTTTCAATATAAAATAAAACTCCCCCAGGGGTATCAGTTCATTTGCAAGGAACAAATGAACTGATACACGTGTTGTTTACATGTACATCAGTTTAGTTTGAGTCTTAATTTGTTAATGCTGGAATGATTCTGTGGTTCTGGTTATAAATTATTTTCCAAAAAGCTGAGAAGAAAAGTTTTATGCTTTGAGCACTTCTAAATAGAATGTCCCCACAGGAGTGTGAAAAAAAAAATACTAGTTGGTGTGCATGTGTAACCTACCCTTTGTGGTGGGGGGATCAGGTGACACTGATGGGGGGTTCACGTCATCCACCTTTGACAGGTGGGTCTCTGGGAGGTAGTCCTCATCGGCTTGTGTATCTGCAGTTATCATAGCTTCCTGTGCCAGTGTCTCCGAACTTCTTCTGCATTGATCCTCTGAAATCTATTACCACCAACCACACAGAACAGGCAACACAGCAAAAACAAAAGATCTGATAGTGGCAAATAATGTTTTTTTTTTTTTCATTTGAGGGGCTCATCTTGGTTTTACCTCCTCATCAGGGTCTCCACTGTCAATCTTGTTGTTTTCATCTGGTGTGTGGATAGGTCTAGACTCAGTATTTTCCTCAATGAGGTTTTCAGTCATTATTTCTGTCTGGACAGATGTTTTCCCACTGCTTATTTCAAAGAAAAGAAGCAGAGTTGAAAATCCTGCCCCCCTAACTGCTCGACAAGAGGGTTATCAGCTGCTCAATTATCTGCAGCTTAAACCAGCTCAGCCTCTACTGTTACTCTGAAAGCCACTGCTTGATTAGTCTTAAACATTCAATCATCTCTTGCCTTACCTTTCTTCCTCCATCCTTCTTTATGTGGCTTCCTCCCAGGGTGCCTGATGTACCGTCTCCTACTAATCCTGCACTTCTTTGGCTTTTTCTTTCTCTTGTCCCTTGTTTCGGCCAGCTTCTATGCTCTCTTTCCTCACGCTCTGTGTCTGAAACGGAAGCTCCAGGCTCTAAATATTTAATGTGTCTGAATAGCTCACAAGCAGGTCTCTGTAAAAAGTAATCAGATGGGGGCTCCGGTATCTGTGCGGTGGAGTTTGGCTCACATTAGCAAGATCAGTAGAAGCCAGCAACTTTCTAAATGCTTTTATGAGATATGCAAGGATATGTGGCAGTTGAAGTGGCATTTCAAATGAAAAATACTAAATAAAGTAATAATAATATATCTCCATGGGCTCATTTGGAAATATGCATTGTAGGGCCTGTTAAGATGTTTTCACATCTTTTATGTAACTGCTCCAAACATGCTCTCAATGCTGTTCGTCAAATAATTATGAGACAATATGAAGTTTAGGATAGTGTTGTGAAAAGGGCATGCACATTTGTAGGCAGAAGGTATAGTGCCCTGGTAAATTATGTACACTGATTTCTTGGCAGACCTGTTAAAAATGTGTAAAAGCAAAACCCTTCAAATAATTAGTTTATTGCAGTAGCATAAAGTTATGCTGGAACTATTGGACTAATCAAACATCTGATTTTGGTATTTTTATGCAGCAAGGAGAAATAAGAAAAGTGATGAGGCACAAAATCCACATTGGTTCAAGTTTTGTGTGCTGATTTGTGTGGCCATGTTATCTGATGTCAATCCACTGTTCTTTCTGAACTTCAAAGTTAAGAAAACGTTTTGAGCTCTTCCTGCTCCCTTCCCCATGTGCATAGTGCAAAATGTATCAAAAGCTAGTTCAATGAGCATGGTGTCACTGTGTCTGTGCCATCAAACTCACCTGACCAAACCCTATAGAGAATCAATGCAATACTGTTAAGAGGAAGATAAAAGATACCAGACCCAAAATGCATATGACCTGAAGGCTACTGTTAAAGGATCCTAGATTTCCATGACACCTCAACAAGCTAATTCCATGCCAACTTACACTGATGCAGTAAGTATTGATATTAAGGTATTTTAAAAGCAACAGGATGTGGAAAGAAAATAAACATAAAATAGTTATTTTAAAATGTTCTTACAGTACTTTATTTGGATTGTTAGAAAATAAACAGTAGTGATACCTTCTTCCATTGTTCCAGATATTCTTCGGTATTACCACTGCCATTTTAATAGCACACATATGACTGTAGAGACTCATTCCACCAGCAGATGGAGAAAGAGTATTTCCTATTTAAATAAGCATATCAACATGAACAAAAAAGATTAATATCTCCTGGGGTGCGTTTGTTTTACTGTTTTATGCCATCTCATTTCTTTGTTTTTCTAACCCCCCCCCCAAAAAGATCACAATTACACAAATACTGTTAATTTTTAACAGTCTTGTCAGTTTGTGTAGTCATTCTTAAAATCATCATTATCACTCTGTATGCAATGGATTCACATAATAATGTATGGCATTTTAAGAAGCAAATATTAGGCAATGTTAACATGAATAAATCTGATTTTAAATAAAGGGTTTGTTTCAGAAACTGTGGAATATTTTTGTTCAAATCTGTATCTGTAGCTCACAAACATTTGTGCATCTAGACATGTCTTCCTGTAAATCCGCAGCAGGTAATGTGAGTGTTGTTTTATACGAGTGTGTGCATGTGATGTGTGAGTGTGTGTGTACTCGTGCTCTTTTTGTGGGAGGAGGGAGTCAAGGAACATAAGTGGAGATGACTCACCGGTCTTTTGTGACAGTGGTGCAGAGAAAGTGTTTTTCGCCCATTTTTTCTCCCTTAGCGTTTGCATACAAAACAAGAAATGGGGAAAGGATAGAAGGAAAGAAGGGTACAACTGGGTGTTATAGGTAGCATTAGGGATACACGAGGAGGGGAGGAGGGAGCATGGATAATTGTAGAGAAAAAAGATGGTACAGATTGGTAGAAAGATAAGGGGTGCACAGATCATAAACAAGGAGAGCGTTGCAGTGGGAGAGATCCTGGCTGCTCTGCCTCTAGTGTCCTAATGGCTTCTGAAAGCATGTTTGATAGAGTGTGTTATGTTCAACAAAGTTGGTAAAAGGGAACAACATGAAAAGTAATGAGGCGAGATTCGTGTTTAATTTACTGTAACAGGCTCTTTCAGGTTCAATGTTTGCTGAACATGCTTCTAAACAAAATACAATATCAAATCTTTGTGCTAGTCCTTTCTCCCTAAAAACAGACATTTCTTAGAGGTATTTTATTCATCATAAGTCAGAAAGTAAAATGTCTTTTATAGACAATGCTTTAGAGTTTTTTCCCCTGGGTTTATATATATATATATATATATATATATATATATATATATATATATATATATATATATTAAACAAGTAAAGGATTTAAGATGAAAGCAATAGACAAGTCAAGGTATTTAAATATTTCAGTCTTTAGAAAACAAATGCTGATGAAGACATCTCCTTGGATAATATCATTGCAGTGAAAACTGATTCTACAAACCTGAATGAGGGGTGTAGACTACAAATGCACACTCTGCCTTTTAGGTGGGATTTAAAAGAAAAATATTTAAATAACTTTGTTTCATTTTTCTTCTGGCCTGTTACAGAAAAGTCAATATGATACACTGATATTTGTGGTTGTAATGTCTCAAAATGTGGAAATAAAAATCAATACATTTTTGTAAGGCAATTTTATTTCTCACTGCAGTGCTTACAAAATGTAATGGAATATTTCATTTATGTATGTGAATGCATATATTATTAAATGTCAGTGTTGCATTTATTTAACACAAAAATATATCTCATACTGAATCGGTAGCACGGAATCAGAGTTTAGCAGAAATTTCTTTGGAATTGTCCACTGGGCCTTGGGTGTAAGGCTGAAAAAAGTCGACATTGAATATCATTTCTATTTTTGCCTACTTAAAATTCATTATCTATATGAAGATACCTCACTATTAGATTACCTAGCAATCAAATACTACAGATTATGTTTCCTTACTAACCTTCCTAACAGTGTTGATCTGAAAAACAACACAGTTTTTTTTTTTGTGGTAACCAAAATAAAAAAAAAAAAGAAATAAATAAATAAAACATACTTTAAAAGACACCTTATAAATCCAGATCCTGAAGAATAAAATGGTGTGCTGGAGTGGAGAAACTGTTGAGCAACATGACAAAAAAATATTTTCATCAACAATGGTTAAGTTCTGCCTAGAGGAAGTCTGTTGGACAGTTGAAGAGATTTGAGTCTTTTGAAGACAAGTAATGATGATGCAGGTCTAGATCGTAATAGTCTTCAAGAGTTTTTATGTGTGGTGAAGAATTGAAACAAGGAGTCAGAAAACACGACAGTAAAATGCCTCTATTTTGTTTTTCAGTTTTACTCCAAGAATGGTATCATAATACCGTAGTTTGATGTTGTGTAAACCATGACTATACCCCACTCACATTTTTGATGTACTTGTTGTTTTGTCAAAGATAAGAGTATATCTGCTGTTGTTGTTATTTTGAGTTCTGACAGGCAAGATATATGTAGAGATTAACTTAATCAGCCTTAGTAGCACAACATCCAATGCTTGGAATAAAATGGAAACATTTTAAGGGAAGTTGAAATTAATTGTTAACAGAGGCTTTGAGTTTAGAAGAGAGGTTTGGATTTATCCAGCAGATGTGTGCAAAGTTGGCTGTTTGAAAATGCCATTCCTTCATTAATTGTTCTATAATACGTAACCTCACCAAGCATATTTTCAACTCAGTTTATTTATATAGCACCACTTCACAACACATGTCATCTCACGGCACTTTACTGTTCCAGAGATCATACAGTCAAATTGATTCAAAGTTTTCTATCTAAGGAAAACCAGTTGATTACATCGACTCATTAACTCCAATGCAATCCCTCACACTAAGCATGCTTGTAGCGACAGTGGAGAGGGAAAACTCCCCTTTAACAGGAAGAAACCTCCAGCAGAGCCAGGCTCAGTGTGAGCGGCCATCTGCAGAGGCCGAGTGGGGTTCAAGGAGACAGAATCAGAGATGAAAAAAGCAGCTTTAAAAGGCAGACGAGCAACAAGCCAACTCCCATGTCAGAGGGAGAGCACATCCAGCCAGTTACAGTCAGAGAAACAGGAATTTTAATTGTTTCAGTATAAAATGACACAAAGTATACAGCTACAAAGTGGCTAAATCATAACATAGAAGGGATTATTTTACAGAAACAAATATAAACTCCAGAGGATGAAATGGTTGCATACAAAACTATTATTTATTTCACTGAACTGCTAGGATTTTTCTTGCCAATGCCCCACCTATTCAAATAAACTGCTTGCCAAATGAAGATTGAATTGCATTTATAACCTGCTATTATACCAACAGCATCAGGGTGTTCACAAAAAACAGCAACAACATGGAGAAACTGAAACCATCATTAGAAAAATGCATAAATAACACCATTTGCTGAGCAAAAAAATGACATGGGTACTCTTAGTTGCCATGCAACCAAAAAAGAAGAATCATTATAGTTATAATTTAGTTACTTTATCGCTGTGATATTGTAATGTCATTCAGTGTGAATACATTTGTAATATAGTCAAGTTTTAGCTTCATATTTGTACACTGGCTTTAAAGATTAATTGATTGAATTGTATGTTAAGGTTAACTTAACCACCCCCACAGTAGTTGAAGTTTGGCTTTTTATTTTTGTTTTTTATGCATAAAAATCATTGGGGCCATCACTGGGAAATTGTGGTGCTTTTTAACTCACATTAGCCAGGAACTGGATGTATACCAGGTTTCTTCCTTGGAGACTTGAAGCCTTCAGAAATACTCAAATTACATTTTACTTATAGTTTACCCACTGGGAGAGACATGAATGATTAGTAACATGGCGTGTAACTTGACCTTACAGATGAGAAATATTAATCTATATTTAAATGAATTAAAATTGTAATTTTAATTGCATATAATACAATAACATGATTATGGGAAATGTTATAATGTGCCCTTTTCAAGCAGTACACAGTAAGACCATCAGCTA